GAACGATATCAACACAAACTTCAGATAGAAGTGAAGCGTGCGAATTTCTCCACATTTGATTCACAGCTTCTCCTACAGACCTCGATGTTAATTGGTTCTTGTTGACCTTAAACCTGTGATTGTTTACTTACCACATGTGGAGAAATTTGAACGCTTTACTTCAAACTGAAATTTGTGCTGATGATGTCGTTCAGAAGAACGATGAAAGCTCCACGACCAAACCATTCAGCTCAGAGAATAAAACTCCACAAAAATCATCAACCTGAGCTACAAATCTCCACCATATATAATATAATACTGTATCACAATGATTATAAAATAATATAGAATGATCTATTGAGTAATTAAAAGAAAGACGATTATAATAAAGTGATGATTTGTGAAGATTAGAAAATTCAACTAAATATTTATTAAATTCACTTGGTGTTGTTTTATTGTGTCTTCTCATTATTATTTAGCACTGCAATTGATCAGTCTCATGCTGGCATATGTACATCCTGTGCGGACTGCCTCGATATAACCTTAAGTCACAAGCTTTTTAAGCAAAGATGGATAGTGGCTAGCAGTGGAATCCAGTTTGATGCGCGTTTCGTCCTATTTGGGACTCGTAAGGCGGGTGTACCTACATCAACTCTGGGATGCTTAAAGAGTTATTAGATCACATAATATTTTAAAAGAGAACAAACTAAATATTTTGAATCAACAGATGGATATTGAGAATATGTGAAAACATCAAAACATCAGACGATTGTTTAAAGATCCCCATCATCAAAGCATAGATATTTGAATGCAGATTATTCTTTTCGATAAATTATTTTCAGTTTCTACAATTCATATATCCAAATTAATAATCCGAAAAATCGCCAGGTTAAGGCAAATTACATCGTTTAAAGCATGTGAATTTAGGAATGTTAGGTAAAATAGAACAAAATTGTTAATGTTGATATGACTCACATGGAATGTTAACTTTAATCAGCTTATATGTTGTTAAGTGAAAATGTTAAGTGATCCATGATCTGAATAAATATGGATCAGATAGGGTGAGATAAATAATAGTGCAATTAAATGTGCAATCAAATGTTTAATGGAAGACTATATTATGTAAGGATTGCAATACGACTAGACCTATGACGCTTCTGGCACCCAAAAGCCAGTTTACATTATGTTACCATTTAGAGGCGACACAAATAGTCTCATGTTGAAACGGAGACTTAAATTAGCTATCAATCGAACATTTTATACAGCCCAACTTGTCATTATCGAAAAGACAAGGTCTATTTTTCACCGAAAGCCCAAACAGCACGTAAGCGACTGTGTCTATCAATTTACATGTATGTACGGAAACCCGTACATAGGGAGGAGCAATAGAGACTTGCAATTAAGGGTAGGTGCAGAAACAAATGGATTCCAATGATTAAATAAGATCATAGGATAGACCAACATCATCCTCCATTGCGAAACATTTGGTTGAGACTGGTTATAAGGTTGACATCAAGTCGGCATTTGTAGTGTTATACAAAAGCCTTCGAGGATGTATACTAAGGTTTATTGAAGCCTTGGCTATACGGAAATCGAAACTCCCTTTTATGCGTTCAAAAACAATTTATCCTTACACTTAACGTACCCCGGTAATACTGATTTATTATCAAGAGCAGTAATCACATTTGTTTTTGTGTACTTCAATATTTTTCCTTTGTTATAACTTACCCTTAACCTGTCTAGTTGACCTTTTATTTTTATATATAAATGTTCTAAACAAATATATGTGTGACCAGATTGTTCGAAATGTATTGCGCAAATATATTACATAATTCTGATAAACTTCGTCTTCTCATTGGATTATCGAGACTATGTTGTGTAGAAAATTATTAATAAGACGTAATAAGGTAGGATGAATGCGAAGTAACTGAATGAACCATGTATAGGGGAGATTAATAATGTTTAACCAATAGTAATAATAATAATACAAAGATTTTCGAATAATGATAACAGAGATAATTACATTTGACTACGAAAGGTCGTAAGTACAATAGTCAAATTAGGTCATTCAATAGCTAAGATTACTATTGATTAATTGGCCTTGAGGTTGGCCAAGGGAGAAGAAGTAGTTAAAAATATTTCTTTTGTTCGCATAGCTCCAGTTTCTTAATCCGGATGGCTATTGCTTCAGCCGCTTGAAGGACTTTAAATCTGACAAGCTTTAGCAAAAAATTACTGACCCAATAAATAGTTGAAAAGGATTGGTTTATAATAGCACCATGACCAGTTTGCACTAAATGGGCCAATATCGAGCTGTTGGCTTTCTTCACCATACATTTGCTCAGTCAGGACGGACGCTGTTCTGCTATACGATAGCTAACTTACTGAACTGTACATCATACATAGCTGGCTCTGCAGGAGCGACTGAGGTGATATATACAGATGGATGTGGCGAATTCAGACTGTCTTTATTTATTGATGGTTATCATTATCGGAAAATTATGAAAAACCTCATTCAATTTGTCTGAAGTAAGTGTTTCTCCCACCCCTTTTCCTAACGTTTACGTCTTATTTTCCTCGGTAGCGTCACTTAGAAACAGTAATTTCAAGAACACTGACTTTTCGGAACAATTGTTCCCTTCGGTCTTGTTTCTATTTCATTCATGTGTTAATTGATGAATTTATTTGAATATCAGTTCCTTCTTAGTAGATTATTAATATTACTCAATTCATCTTCAACGGTTTCGTCGGAGCAAATCATTCTGGCACGATGAATTGAGATTTTTATTTCCTTTTAATTATGATTGGTAGAGAACTATTGAAATAAGTATGTTGTCCAACTGCAGATTTTCTATGTATCCTTCTTTTTAATGTCCCATCTACTCTTCTTCTTAGTTGGACATCTAGAAACGATACGCTATTGGTCTGTTCTTCTCCACGTGTAGAAGTAGTAGATAGATGAATGTTATTACATATACTGAGTAAATTATCCTTCTCATGTTCTTTTTCTAATACTATGAAAGCATCATCTATATAGCAATAGTAAGATTTTAGGTGACTAATTGTGTCTTTAAGTGGTCCATTTTTCAGTTTTGCAAGAAAAGTCTGCTGTACAGGACCGAATAGTGATCCCATGGTTTCATCATCTACTTATCTATAGTATTTGTTGAGTCGGAAGTGAACATTCATCGTGTGTCTGAGAATCAACTCTTCTATTGCAGATACGGGAATCAAGGTGTCTATAAAGCCTCATATTTGTTCAGCGCAAATAAAATTCACAATTTCCAGCAGGAGAATGTTGTTAAATAAAGACGATTTATCTCATGATATTTCAAATTTATTTGACCAGTAGATTTCTTATATTACCAAGAAGTCCGAAGGAGTCCTTGGCCCTTTACACAATTATTTATTTGCGTAACCACTTGAGAATTTCATTATCCAACCTGCTGTATTATTTCAGGCCGAGTTGTTCATATTTATATCGATTCAAAGGGGCAAGCCACGTTTGTACATTTCGGCAGACCATATAGACTTGGAGTTATTGTTCTTGTAGGTCTAAATATTTCGAGCATATTTTTCGACTTTAAACCTTATTTAATTGTTTCACTGAGTCCATTGGTTGTTTTCCAACCCTGTCGGTCACATTATTCTCCAGTACTAGGTTTCCGAATTTACTCCTATAATTTAAAAGGATCTTCATCCTGTTTAAATAGTCAATTTCGTCCAATGTGAACTACTCCATAACGTTTGTCTGGTTTTGTAATTAAAATATTGTCACCCGTTATAAAATCCCGCAAGGCTTTATTAATGTTCTTCGTCAGAATAATTTTCAGCTTTGTCCACTATTTAATTTATCTAAAATAACAGTCTTAGCAATACCACCACTGAAAATCATAAAAATTCTACAATGTCCACAAAACTCCTATAGTGATTATTAGTATCTGTTCACCAATGAATGACTTCAAGATGCGGTTTCAGGAGCTTTTGCGAAAATCCGTAACCAGTCGAGTTCAGCCAGGTCGACTGCGAGAAAGTTATTTATTACAGAGAACGTAGGATGGTCGTACAGTATCACGAATAGACTGAAGTTGGACGTATGGACAATTGGATTCAGGCTCAGTGGTCTAAAGGATGAACACTTGTCATAAGACTGGGGCCCTTAGTTTAATCTCCTCTGGTGGGGTTATAGATACCGACTGCTGAGGAGTCATACTAAAACGAAACTGGTGTTAATGTTTGTCAAAGATCATTCTGTAATGTAATCTATGAATTTAATTTTGTAAAAGATCTGAGTTACTTGTAAACAAATCAGTAGTCACTCTACATATATATATATATATTTTGAGAAAATTCATCTAGGACATTAATAATCATATCTAACAAAAGAAAATTTGAGAAGTTTTACAATAAATAATAGACATATGTCAGGTATTAGAAAATGGGAATAATATCAATCATAAAAGTAGTAAGTTTTTAAATTAACAAATGGATATCTTCGTTGTGATACATGGATTAAAATGGATGTGAAAGAGGAAGTATGTGTGATTGTGTCTGTGTGGAGTATAGTCACACACAAATCTGTTAAAAGTTAACAAGACAGGAAAAAAGTGAAATATATAGAAATATGCATTTACACTAACTGTAGATCACAGAAAATTTCGAACAAAGGCAGAAATGATTAAGATCATATTTGAACAACCATATTGTTTTTACTTTACATTTATTAAACATTTGTTTGTTTGTTTTTTCATTGTAAATTATACTGTACAAAAAATTACACCGAATTGGTAATAAAGGGAAATCTCGACGCATAAATATCTTTTATTTTCATATTGGATAAAATAAGAACCGTAGTAACGTTACTAACATCGGTATCGCCATGTATTATGTGTTTGTGAAGTAATTATGTAAGACAATGTTATATGATGCATGTACACATATATATCTAACTCTGAGAAATAGACAGAATGCATATCTATTTGATATTAAAAGATCAACTGATATTTTTATCACTATTTGAGTGAATATCCATTACATTTTAGTGTTATTTTATATACATAATTGATTAATATTAAGAAAAAGTGTGTAAATTTGATAAACGTTTCTTTTCAAACAGAAAACAACATAATTGAAAAGACAAATCCTGAAAGTTAGTTTGTGTGCTTATGTGTGTTTATGCTAAGTTAGAGAGATTTTGTCATTCTTGGTACTTCAACTTCACAATGATGGTTATCATCAAGATCATTATTGTCGGTATATACTTCTCCTACTTCCGCTTCTTCTTCTTCCTTTTCCTCAAGTATAGGACTTGGATATGATAACTGAATATTATTATTGTTATTAATTGTATTATCATTAGTCAGTGAATTCAATGGAGGTGATAAAGATGAATCATCATCGTCATTATCGTCAATAACGGTATTCATTTTACCAGATGATGATCGTAAATTTCGACTGATCAATTCAATGTCGTCATTTAAATTTAACGATGTATCCGCTTGTTCTACAGGGGATTCAACATATGATCGCATACCAGATGATGATAATGATGATGACTCATGAGGAATTGAGTCAAAATCTAGATCTAAGTCTGGATCAACCGCTTCCTCTTCATTAGCAACATGTGATAAAAAATCACCCATATCTTCCGAACTAATCAATCCAACTTCATGTGTATGTCCAATAATTGGTGATTTTTCAGTGGAATCCGGTAGATTTTCTGTCTATGAAGGAAACAAGTAAATTAAAAAGATTGATAATAAAGTAAAGAGAAAATAGGTTTTATTCGTTTTTATTTCATCAATCGAATAATAATGAGCTATTTCTGATAATAGCAAAAATCGAACATAGATAATAAACGTTTTATTCATTATAAATTAATCTCCGTTGGGGTACTATTGAAAAATGGGGAGCATTGGATAGCTTTTTCTACATCGTGTGCGATTCGCCAGTATGATTTGTATCAAGATGTTTCTGAAGTCCAAGTAGAAATTCGTGACTAATGGAGTTCAGAAACAGCAGTCGCAAGTGGACCGATTGATTGTCGCACCATATGGATAATTGGTCGTAGTTGAAATTGTACCGCCAGACTTCTACCCAGTGGTTCTAGTGGTTAAGTATTTGTTTTAAACCAAAAAGGTATAGATTCGGTTCCTGATAGGGTTATGAACGAGAACTGCTGACTCCCTTACTAGGCGAACTAGTTGTCTGGAATTTGTTGATTCCCGAATGGTAGCTCAAATGAAATCAATTTGTGACGAATATAGCCTAAAATCTAAGCCGATCTCCACAAAACCCCTTCAATTACACTATCGAGGATGTATTTCAGAAAGGGAGAATGAAGTTTTGGGATAAATAACAGGAAAAGAATATTCAAACCTAAAATTTACAAGAATATGCCAAATGAATGCATCTGAGACAACGCCATAGATTTGAAGCTAATGGACGGTAAACTACCAAATCAATGATTCCGATTATCTCCCAATACAATCCAAATCAACATTTAATGACCTCATGGACAGATGAAGTGTCGTTGCTTGAGTTCTTATAAACTTTTGGAAACCTACTTCTATGTCACCCAATATCAGTCGTAGGAATGGATGATGACAAAACATATTTTTAAACCGTCTTAGTCATTGATGGCTCAGTGTTTAATCAGTCGGTTCTACATCTATCTTAGTAGCACCCACTAAAGTGGTTCTGGTATGTGCAATCAGTTCTTTAAAGAGACCTAGAATTAAGTTACGCCTATACATAAGATGAAGACTGTTATTGACAGTTTCGGACTCCAGTTTAATTTCTTCATCGTTTGCTCCTTTTGTGTTTTACATTAAACTACTTACTAGTATTCAATAGTGTATGCATTAAAAATATTTTGGAATAAGTGACTTGGTGTTTCTGTACAGTAATGTACTGCCATCCTTAAATGTTTGTATATCCCGCTTATGTTTTAATTCATTTCCCTTCCATTATTCTTTATTAGTTTCTGCTAGGTACATTATTCATTGAAATTTCGTTTATTCAAAACAGCTTTACCAAATTGAGAAGAATAACTATCGATTCATTTTTGTTATCAGCTAATACTTGTTTGGTAAAGGTATATATTATTTCTTCAAGTTATCATCTATGTTGTAATTTACTTATTACATACTTGTTTGATGAACTCAACTCCTTATTGACTATCAACGCCTTAAAATCGTGCGATTCGATATTTGTAAAATTTGTGTTGTTTTGTCTTTATAGTTTAATATTCTAGACAAATATCGTCTTTTAAGTTTAAGACATCATGAATGATTCAATTATTTTGGTTAAAATATTCGAAAACAATTCTATATTAACCTTAGTTTGTAGAGTCTATCTATTTATCTTGACCTAATTTATATAATTCTTTTATTTCTTATTTAAGACAGTCGTTGACAGTATTTCAATGGTATAAAAGTCTACACATTCGATTATATCAAAACGTTCCTTTCGAAAAGGTAATAAAGTTCATTTCAATTAAAATATTAATTAAGAAAGTCATATGATAGTCACTTACATTCCAGCAAGAAGTTTTTTGAGAGTTAATTTGGTTGAATCCATGTGTAATAATTTTAACATTATTATGTTTATCAAGATGGCTAGCGGTAGAGTTATTAACTCCAGATAAATGACATGGTTTACTTGGTACTGAAGTAGATAATTTGCGTAATCGTCTAAGCATAGCACCTTGAAGTTCAATACGTTCTGCATTTTCAGCTTCTTGAAGACCTAATTGAATTTTTCTCTCTTTATTTTCTAGATCATTGTCATTGTCATCGTCATCACCGTCATCATCATCACTATCATCGTCATCAATTTCATCTTCCATCTCTTCCATATTTTCATCTTCATCAGGATCATTATCTTGATCGTCAACATTTCGTCTGTTGTGTTCATCATCAACATTATTAACATTATCATCACCATCAACATATTCATTGTTATCCTGGTGATCATCCATGATATAGTTTTCATTAGCAATACTCATATCTTGTGCATAATTCTTTAAATCAATAATCAAATTTTGTATATCTGTAGAATTTTTCGTTGTTTTCACATTATGATTAGTATTAGTACTAGTTAAAATATGAGTATATGGATAGAGTTCGGGGCTGATAAAGTGTAAATTTGTATCATAACTTGTATAATGTTTGGTAGGCATAAGTGAATCTATTATAAAGTTAGATAGGGGACAATAGTTAACATAAGACTATGATAAACATTTTTAATAACATAAGTTGAAGTTAGACAATGAAACAATTTGAAGATAGAATTCAGTCTAAACCAATCAATATCAAGTAAGAAATTATTGAAAGATATATAACAAGGGAAAGCTGAGATAGTTAGGCTTGGTAACAATCACCAGCATACTAATTACATAGTTTTCTGAGGTTACCCATTCCAACGCAAAATTTGTACTCACATACTTCTCTACCATCGATCATTCAAAAGAAGTTTGTAGTTACTGTTGTCACATTTAATAAGAAAACGTCAAATATTGTTCAATCCCAACATTAAGAGCTAGACGACGAGATATTGGTGATCGATTAGTACAGACTAAAAACTCTCAACAAAAAACAAAATGGAGTGATCGTGATTAGAATCTGTCCTTTTGAGATTCCGAAATATAGTGTAGTAAGTGCACCAGTCTTACATTAGTTGTGTTGAAAATTTTGTTAACGTAAACCACTTAACATTTTGCAACACGTAAATTCGTACTACTAGTGTTCTATATAAGTAGCAATATCAGTCATCTTGCAGATATCAGAGAATATGAAGGGATAATTAGATAGGTATTAACGGCAAACTTTCTTGGTCCATACAACTGTTATGTCCCGATAAGGATAATGAATGGTAACTTTCGGGATCCATTTATGGACCAATAATACGCGTATATTTTTGTCGTATAATTGTTAAATAACTAAACTATGCATATTCAGGTCCCTCTTATCATGAGCTTTGTTTTGACCTATGAACTATTATTCTACGATTTACCATTCTTGAATTATGCCCTGTCTATTGGTCACTACCTCCCACATTCACAGCCACATTTGGCTAAATCTTGTACAAATGTTATTTTCCATTTTACGGAACGATGTGGTCTGTCTGGTTGGTATATAAACCCAGTATGTTGAAATAAATGGTTCATATTGCAAAGGCTGAGATTGGTGTTCAGGACTTAACTGACGGGCTAGGCAAGAAGCAGGACCGATAAGTACTCTAGACTGCTCGCACGTGTTTTATGTGTCATACGTTCAATCGATAATTCACTGCTCTCTAATTGGCGGTATCATTACGTCATACATTAACAGGGCACTCAGGCCACAAGTTATAACAACAGCAGAACAATCAAATTAGATTGCAGAAATGTGGACATTATGTACGAAATCTTAAGGAATTTCGCGAGGAGTTATGACTATCTTACGTTCGATAAAACTTTCATCGCTGTTGAAACAATCCCAATGTACACATTACAAGTTATTCACAATCGAAATAGCTGAGATGAAATAGTTTTGAGTAATTTAGAATGATAATAGAATTGAGTAGATCATAGAAACTAAGATTAATTCGTTTATCACCTTAGTATTGGGGAGTTCTTCCTGGAAAGCAACAATTATTCATGAGAACATATCCATTTCTGTACTCTTAAACCGGTAGTGCATTATTCAAACTCTTCAGATGTTATTAATTTATTCATTAAAAGAAAAGCAGTTTCATGGATCTGTGCTCATTTATTACAATCATAATCGTTAGCCTAAAAGGCTGGTAACAGGACTGAGACATAATAATTTATCATATTCAATGGGCGATTAATGAAATTACTATTTAGTCTTACGTTTATACATGATGATTATCAGGCAATTTTTTAAAAACTCAGTCAATTAAATCGGCTAGTACTGCATGTTTCAATATTTTGATTCATTGTATTGAATATAGAAATATCAGAAGAATCTAGTGGAAAATCCCTAAACTAGATCGAATATATATTGAAACTTAATAGCATAGTATATTCTGAATGTTTGGAGAAATATTTTCTTCTTTAAGAAACTTAAGTTCATATAAGATATAGTGAGTAAGCCGAAATCAAAGGCATTATTACCAGGATATCAGTTACACTGAGGATTTAATCAACATAATATTGTGAGTAATATGAACTAGAAAGATATTAATTATTGAATGATGACGGAAGACTGTCCAATAATAAAGGTGATCAGTTATAGTTTGAAAAGCTTAGTGACAGTGACTTTAGTTATGTTACCGTTTAGGGTTTCGGCCTTATAGATAGTGAGATTATTTTAGAGATTGTAGTTGTATTTAACTGATAACCACTGAAAGATACAGAAGTAACACTTATATTCTCTTAATAAATGTCCTCAATCGCGTACCACAGATAATTATTATTTAATAGCAATACAATACACTGTTCATTTAAGATAAATTCATTTATAGATGATTGGGTCAACTTGAAAGTAAACAAAATACAGGAGGGGGTTCATACTAGTATTTCTACTTACGATCAATAAATAATCGCAAATACCAACTTCTGAATGAACACAGATGATTAAAAAACAAAAAAAAAACACAATGAAGCATATTTTCTTATTGACAGTGTGGTAGTAGTATGCAAACCATAGAAAGTAGAATGCGTGGTAGTAGAAGGTTGAGAAGACCAAATAGAAGAGAATGGGAACGAAGAGTGATTGGTATGGAAATGGAAGAACAACAAAACCTGAGACAATTGATGAACATTTTGCAAATGAAGTATTAGACGTATGGTATTCACATTTTACCAAATATCTCTGTATATGTGTATCCAAGTACATTTTGTCGTCCCCACTTGTGTTCTCGTTCACTACAACAGTACCTCTAGATAAATAGATAGTGATGTATTTCGAGAAATGGTGTTTAATTACCTTTGAAGCATATTATGTAAAATATTTTCATGAATATAAGATGGCAAAAAAGACAAAATGCCTATCGATAAAGATAAACACTGAACTACTTTGAGTGTGATCATGAACCGATTGGTGTTAAACCACCCTTGTAAACCTGGAAGCACTGGACGGCCGTTTCTTTCTATTGTGGGACTACGCAGCAGTGCCCATCCACGATCGCACCCGCTGGATTCGAACTATTTAGTGGCTAAAGGATGACTATATATTACACATAATTGTCTTTACTAACATTTAGCTATTTAACACTAATAACTTTATCAAAATCATAGTAAATGAGTATTTACAAATTTCTAATCATAAAATGAATATCATTTACCAGAATGACCGAAATTTTTCAAACAATTAAATGTGTAATATCATATGGGTTTTTTGTAGAGATTGTAGTAATTTGGATGCCGGCTCAGTGGTCTAGTGGTTAAGTGCTCGGGCGCGAAACCAGTAGGTCCTGGGTTCGAATCTCGCAGGGGGTGAGGTCGTGGATGCGCACTGCTGAGGAGTCCCACAATAGGACGAAACGGCCGTCCAGTGCTTCCAGGTTTTCCATGATGGTCTAGCTTCACCTGACTCATGATCTTAACCATTGAAATTAAATGTGTACTTGATTTCAACAACTATACATTTATTGTGTAATAGTTTAATAGTTAATGAAATATAACACTATGTTTCTTGAAAATTCACAACTAATTCATAAAACAGTTTTAATAACTATCTCTTCAACTGATTTCATTGACTTTGGTCATTAGAAGCCTAATTGTCAATCACCATAAATATACATGTTTTGCACGTGTATATGTGTGTGAATTAGCTAAAAGAAGTACATGCACTGTATTTTAGAACAATTTTGTTTAAATAATATTTTTAACAAGCATTTCTTTCAATTAATCAGTGAGTTCAATTATAAAGATATCTGATTTGGGACAAGATCTGAATTTTGGAAAGCCTATAGAACAAATGTTTAATTGTATTGATAATTTGATCCAAGATATACTGACCTCAAAAGAGATTTTAACTTGGATAACAGTATGAGGTATCATGTCTAGTTTGTGTGAAAGTGCTAAATACAAAAAAAGCTTATTAGCATTTAAATCAGTGTATATAATCTCAGTCAACAATCGACAATCATGTTTGTCAGATTATAGTTAAGAATGAGAAATTACCAAAAAGTATGAATAGCCAGCAAGTGTACTGCAAAGTAATTAGACTTATTGTAACCAAAATTACAAGTCTGGCACAAAATCGGGTGCATCAAATGATGTTCATCTGTATTTTATGAATCAATAGTAAGTAGACAATCGGAGAGGATAGCCTGACTTTGGTTTCATAATAAAAGTTGACTATGCTTGACAATTAAAAAAATGACCGATGAATTACATAGATCAAACTTACGGTGATCAATAAACTTTGTGTTGGTATGTAAAGTTGCAAGCGATTGACTACGTTGTGTACCATTTTCCATTATCGGTGATTGAAATAATAATGCACGTTCTTCTTTCGGGGTAGCTGGAGCAGATTTAGGTTCTATAGATGCTTTAGCGGTGGTATTAATAACAGTATTAGAATCAGTAGCCATACAGGAAGAAATAATTTGATTAACTGTACTGTTCGTTATATTTTCAATTGGTACGAATGGAATATTTTGATATTTTGGTATCGGTAAATATTCTTTAGTTTTAATCAAAGTAGTATCTGTTGGTAAACTTGTATTTCGTATAGGACCAACACTTGTAAGGTCCATTCGAGAACCATTAGGACTCATAATTGGACTGTTAGGCTGTTAGGTAAATAATAATTGTAATACTTATGTGAATCATTTTACCAACACTCAATGAAGAGACGTGGATATTTTTTATTGAAAATTAGCGTTTATTTAAAAAAAATACAGTTAGATATCAGAAAATAGGATACCTGAAAGAATGTTGGATGTTACCTATATTAAACTGGAGACTTCAGAAAGTTAGACTGTTCATTTTATACTTGCATTCACTAGCAGGATATCGAAATACATTTATAAAATAGGACAGTTATTTAGATTTAGTTTTTCAGTTAGAACACTCAAACTCTATAGTGAATATGTTAATCTTGGATTCGCAAAATTCATTCATAGCAAATTCAAAAATATATTTGCTTGTAAATAAAAACATTAGTTTAAAATCCTTAGTGAAGTAATTCGATATTCAGTAGTACCGCTAATCCTCTAAAAAGGGCGTCTAATGTTCCAAGAAGAAATTATATTTACAAATATTCATTGATAAAATGAATATTCAAAATCAATAAGATAACCTGTTTTGTTCTAAATGTAAATTATTCACGTTTAAAGTAACAACCAATGAATATAACGATTAAGATTCCTAACGGTTATTTTTATTATATACATTAAGTTAAATGTCTTTTTACTGTATAAATAAAAGATGAAATGCAACACTTCTTTAGTACTTTATGATCTGCTTTCTTGGCTAAACCATAATTTGTGGACGACCTTAAAGCGACACCAAAATGACCTTGAGAATGTCCACTTACTGATTAGGGCTAAACGAGGGCTTTAAACCTGTGTGAAGGATAAGGATTGTCATTAACAGTTGATGGTTAAGGATAGGGATTAGATTTAGGGGTTTCATCACTAACTGACATCAGCTAAAATGCCAAGACGCTATTTAACCGAATGGATAAAGAATTTTGCACCGAAATCCAAGACCTGTTATCGTAAATCTGATTGGTTCGTCCATAAATTATAGTCTCGCCCACAGTTCAAACAATTAAGTTAGACTGATTAATAGAACTATTTTGTAAACGCAATAGTGAGTATTTCAGTTTATGAAATGTAAACACTTTTGGTCAATAAAGCGGTTTAATAAGAAAAAAAAGTGAAACAACTCAAAATTGCACAATGCTCAGATAAATATGAAGGCATCTTTATCTACATCTATATTCATTTTCAACAATATCAAGTAGGAAATCTGTACTTTCTAACACAGCTCAGAGCAATAAAGTGAATTAATTCAATTGACTGATATTCAATCTTTTCTAGACTTTTAGTCTTTTTAAACCAATTCATAGATTATCCATTATTGTACATTGAAACACTATCAAAAACAATATGATAAGTCTAACATCAACTAATAGATCGTTAAAATGTACAGAAAAATTAGAAAAAAAAACGACTGATTTGTCTTAATCTCGGATCAATTGACAATGGATTTTGTGTTATCAGTGCTGAAAATAAATTGCTCTAGTTTTTTAAACAGACTAGCTGATTTGTAATGAAACTATCCTAGAGATTAATATTAATTCTTATTTCATTAAAATTTTTTTTGTAATAATAAGCTTTAAGGAAAACAATTGGACTTACATAACTTAAACAAGAAAGATCTATATCATCACAGATGGTTGTATATTCACGATAAGTTAGATCTGGTGCTCGATAAGATCCGTGCTGGATACGATTAGTAGGAAGACGATTACGACCACGGCTATTTATGGAAGAGATTAAATAATATGATAATGATATTTATTATTGACTTTTATCGTAAATTGATTGAAGCTGGAATTGCATTGGTTTTTACTCCTCATAAAAAACTTTCTATCTGTTGCTGTGAACTTGTCTCATTTCGTTTACATAGTTAAAAAAAGCCTGAGGATGTTCTTAAAAGTTAAATTTTTTAGCTGTCTCATTATTAAGAGCTTATATCCAATCTCAACGTTTTTGCGGTAATCTTGCGCAGAGACGAGTCCATAAAATTCAGCTCATCAGCAGTCATTTAGACATTGAATCAGTGATCTGAAATTATCAGAGATTACAAGTTTGCTGTGTTTATAAACATCAGAGGCCGACGACTGTTCTAGCCATGGGTCATCCTTGCAGTCTTCATGGTTTTCGAAGAAATGTCTAATCCGCTTAAAAAGCTAGTTTTCTTTAAACCAGTACACCCATAAACATCTCTTAACACTTTTTATGTTTCCTAAGTGTTATTCCCAGATTTCACTAAAAACTTAATATTTAGTTATTGCGTATATACCAGACAGACCAAATGTATTTTATCCATTTATTCATAAATCTTTAAACTAATGAAGCTCAGCGACTGTGCTATCAAAAGTGAAACAAATAAAGTTGTGGTTTGGACCTGCAACCTGATTACTGATAGTCGAATGTTTTAATCATTAGGATAAGTGATATTGTACAACTACATAGAATAGGTTAATTAACTCAACATGGTAAGAATTTCGATAGTTTTTGAGAAAAACTTCGTTTCTAAGAAGATAGAATGTAGAAATGAATGTAACAATTAATTTTAAGATAAACTTTGATAACTGTCAAATTGCACATAGTATAAACTTACTCATGCATTCGATCATAATATGATCCATGACAATGTCCTTCTGAATGAGGAAAAGAATGGTAGTCAAATGTAGGCAACGAATATCTATGATCTGTACGACCATTACGATGTTTCATACGGACTGAACAAGTTGGTGACCTTTCAAACGCTGAATCTAAGTGGTTTTGGTGCTGACGTGAACTAAATGATCCAGTAGGTACGCGTGAACGCCGTCCAAGTTGTGATACAAGCGAACGAGCCAACTGTTGTGGATAATCAATATTCTCTAAATAAAATGCATAAAAAATGATTTCCGTTAGAAGATTAACGACCTACAACGTTTGTTTACTAGATATTTGTAACAAAAACTTAAAATTGATTTCAAGATGTTTTTAAACAATAGATGATATCTAAAGTGACCATCTAGGTTACAGTTTATTGAATAGCTCATTTCAAAAGTTTTGAGATTTTCTTCCTGACTATTTGAACGACACTGAATTCGGTCACTATTTTTGATTAATAGAAACATATCGACTATTTTATCAAGTAGCAAAATAGTTCAGTAGCAGATAACAATGTGAGAAATCAAATGATAAACGGGTTTTCGGAAAGTGTTAAAGTTATGGAAAACGGAATTATGAGCTTAAACATTCTTGTTAAGTAATATACAATTTAAGTGGTAGCTGTATTTATGTACTTCACATAGTCCCTATTCGATTGAGTTTTAATTAATCGGTAGTATATGAAATTCTTGTTTAACACTTTTTTTCACTGCTTTTTAAATTATCACAGGATTATTGGTAGTAATGGGTCATTTTCAGTCATACTAATATCTACCTGTATAAAAAGTTAATTGATAGTTATATAATATACGTCTAATCGTTTGTTAAAGTGTTTTGGTAACTTATCGTAATTTTAGATGGTGCCGTCGAGAACTTAGTCTGACTTAATAGATAGGGTTCACAAAGCGTTCGTAAGTGTGGTTCTGATCCATGTTTGTGAGGTCTGGTTCCTCTGGAATGGGGATGGACGGTAACTTCCTACATTCGATCGTCGTTGTATTTGAGGGATCACTAATATCCAGTGGAAATATCAAGTTAGCAGTGCTTACGTTAGGGAATTTGTGTTCGGGCACAGGGTGACAATAACTTGGTTAGTGTCATCATTTTGAAACACTAACTTTGATGGTTTAGTCAACAAATTTCATCTCAGCGGCTTCCATATCGTGTATTATTTACCGATACGGACTAGGTACAAAGGGTGGAGAGATGGTCAGTTAGTGTCATAACGCTATTTTATGATCGAAAGCTGTATAAAACTGGTACCCGTCGATCCATCACGACTCCCAAGTTTGGCTTACAATAAAAGGCACTAATGATCCTGGTATAATTTATTCTTACACTTTATAATAGTGAAACGAACTTCCTTAACTGAAAAAGTTTTTCTTGATTATATATTTGACTGAATTATGCCACTTACTAAACACTATTTCTGTTTTTATCATCATTTACTTATTTCTTCCCAGTATTATAGTTTCATTTGTGTCGTGCGTTTTTTACGTATCTCATTGTTATTTTTGCACAGTTCTCATTTCTTACGTTTCCACATGGTGTCACTCAACATTTCATTTTTTGAATCCGTTTTATAAAAAGCCTAACTGTACGGTTACAATTTCCCACCAGAACTTTGAGAACCTATCTCTAAGATAGTCGTTTCTAAAGGATCCCAACCTAATCCAGTGCCTCTTGGTTTCCAGTAGTTTCCTAGTTGATGTTAATTCGTTATAAATAAGTTATTTTCGGCTATCGATTAGCTCAATAAACTTACGTAAATAAATAAAAGTTAATCGGAAATCAAGAGGTCATCGAAAATCAGTTATATTCGATAATAGTTAGCAGTGAATTAAAGAAGCGCATTTCATCCTATCTGCTACTCATCGGCTGGGTACACATGAATTTCAGTGTCAACGTTCGCACTTGAGCCCGAACGCAGCACCATTTACTTCAAGTGATAAAGAGTTAATTCCTAATCTACTGGGTCCAAATAGCCAATGGCTTGCAGTTTGTCTCTTCATTCGCCTTATGAATTCCACTGTCAGTCGCTACTTAACTTAACTAAAAAATTGTGATTAAATTGTGATTTCGAGTTAATCATTTCAGGATGCCCATGTGCCAAAACAGACTGTTCACTTGTAGTCCTCAATATATAAACGGGGCGATATAAGCACAAATTATATGCGAGAATCTTTATTGTTTTCATTATAATACGACAGTACTAGAGTAGACTGGAAGGTCTATCGACACAATCGGATATATACACGGTTCACGATCAACAATTCAGAACCAGATAATAAGTCAGACAATAGTTTATTTAACAAAAATACTAGGAGTCCACAAACAGAGCAGAGTCCACAATGAAATCAAAGTAGAAATCAGTGAGAGAAATGAATTCACGACATTAAATGGTATCATGACATTTAGGAAAGTTGAGTGTGTGTGTATCATAGCTCAGTGATCAATCATATTTTACTTTCACTGGTCATACATCAATATTGTTTTGCAAATGATATTAGAAGCTTCACAAACAGTAATATTCATTAAAAAAATGATTACTGATGTCGAAAGATGTTTTAATTACAAACACATTTATTGGGAAATGAATAATTAAAAATAATAATAGCGATACTAGTAATTATACTTATTATCATGATAATAATAAAAATAATATTAATGATAACCGCTACATTTTTTCACATCATACCATTTGAAGTAGCTCCTGAATCTTGAGCTATTTGTCGTTTAAGTAACCATAATAAACTAGAAGTAAATATCATATCTTTTTCACTTGAATTATTTACAATAGAATTGGAAGGTATTTCATGACTGTTTACTGTTGTTGTCGTTGAAGTTGTCATTGTCAGATGTTCCATTTCATTAGTATTATATTGATGATGAATAACTCCTGGTGATGGACTTATCACTCCTGTTGTATGTAGATTATCCTCCATACAGACTAAATGTTCTTCAACTAAATGAACTAAACCGCGTAAATGACGTTGTCTTACATGAATTTCATCCATTCGAAATTGTAAGTGATCAATTCTGTGGGAAGTTCAAATGAACATATTATACATCCATGTAAGAAAAGAAAATATACATTTTAAAAGTAAACAAAAGTGGTTAAGAGTTTTAATTAATAATTATTTGATTATGTATGTGTACTATTGAAGAGTTCACAAAACTAGGTCGAAATAACTATGTTTCACAATTTTTAATTGTTCATCAACAGAAGTTAATTAGTAATGAAAACCATTTGCAAATTATTAGTTGAATGAAGTAATAAAACATTTGAACACAATAGATTAAAAGTAAAATTTAGCTAAAAACTAAAAATTTGATTTATTCCACATCGACTGTAAATTTAAAGATGACTTACAATAATGAAGGAATAAAAACTGTTTCATTCTGAATACATAATGCCGAGTACTGTTGGAAAGTTCCATGATAGGACGAAACGGTTGTTCAGAGCTTCCTGGTTTTCAGTGGTGATCTATCTAAGATCAACCCGTGATTTAGACTTTGTAGAATAAAAAAGATTGGTTTAGCAATGAGTTCACTTTTCGGCGAACTCATTTTCAAAGCTGTATAACTGCAAATATGTACTAATTTTTCAGGTTGATAATAATTACACTAGCTACAACAATAGTGATAACGAAATTCTTTTAAATATGGTAACAGTGAGGTAGAATAAAAAAGGCATTAAAACGTTATTTTTACCAGGGACACTAATAATAGTTTAGGTAACGGTTTGAATATTGATCACGAAGATATATAGGGAAATTATAAGTGGGAAAGGAGGGATGAGCATAATAGGATAAGATATTAAAATTGAGATGAAATGTAATCATGAGGATCATAGAGACAGAAATAAAGCAGTTGGGAGGGGGGTAAATTGTATATATAGATAGAAGGTGAGGCGGATGGCTGTGAAGGGAGACAGGTATGAAAAAGAAATAAAATTATGAGGCAATAAGACCATAGTAGAAGAAGAGGTTGTAACAATTTCTTTCAAACACATAATTCTGCTTTTTTAGATGTATTTCTATTGCATCTTCCCAACATTGCACATCTAGAAAAACCAGAATTGCGCATCCAAAAGAAATTGTTACAAATTTTTCTTTTAACCATGGTCCTACTGTCTCAGAATTTTCTTTTTTCTTCATACTTTATTTGAAAGCAGAGATCAAGTACCGTCCATTCCGATGGCTTCGTAATGTAAGGGAATCACAATCCTACACTTTTCGCTAAGATCTTCAAGGATTAATTAAAAAATTAGAAAAATGTTTAATATTTCTCTTATTAAGCAGATGAAAACATGATGATTGAATTCGGGAATAATATTCTTCACTTATATCTTGTTTTCTAATTTGCGTAATTATAGTGTTGTTTTTCTTAGTAAATATTTTGGAAATGATTATTATCTCATTTTTGCTTACTTTTTATTTAATATTTCGACTTGACCTTCAGCTTTGTGCAATTCAGCTTTTCTTGTAACACGTGTATAGTCCTCCACACATTCCTCTTCAAAATCATGCAATTTTTCAACTTCATCAGGATTTAGAAATAGTTCTAGAGTACAGAAATAAAAACAATATCCCTCATTTTCAGAAAAGTAAACCACATCAATTATCTATTATTATTTCTTTTATTAGGTGGTTAGAATTAGGTGATAGAAAAGTTATGAATGTAATTTATGTACTAAGGAGTAATCATTAAGAGACAGACTTAAGAATTACTGTACATAGAATTATGAGTAACGTTTCTGACTACATAAATCAGTAACGAGGCTTTATATTTTCTAAATTGCATAAGTTCCTTGAATCCTTGAGACCCGACAGTTTGTGCCTCCAGTAATGTAACACTAAGTAAAGGAATATTACAACTTTTGTTTGTGGAACTTAATTGGAAATGACATCAAAATATATAATTATTCATTAGTTAGTACCAGATATCAGAATGCTTGAATAAGTATTAATTTCATTAGGATTTTAAATACACAAAACAAAGAATGAAACGTAGGTACAACCATTTTTACTGATTACCTTCAGCTATTGTATGTAAAACAAAGTGTAGTAAACATGGCTTTAAGACAGTATCCTTGATGTCCATATACATCACTAACCTGATCAATGTGATCACAAGAACAATATAGACTAGAAAACATGAACTAGTTTTTATCTAATGATCAATCAGTAAAAACATCAAATTCTTTGAACATTCTGTAGATTACCTTTTGTATTGATAAAAATGTAATTGCTATAGTCAATACTGTATATTTGGATAAAGTAGAAAATTCTCAATACAAAGTATTTTAAGGAATTTCCCTTAACTTGACTTACATTTTAATTACATGAATTCAAGAAAGAAATATATATTAGATATTTTTACAACTATAATGAATTGTTATTCATCTTAAATCATAAAAATTGTATCCATTTACCCTTGATAAGATGTTTTACATATTAATAACGAACAGAACAGTGGTTGCCTTTAAACTAGATTAACTAGAGATAGTAAGGATTTTATGATAACTCATTAGTAAATGTAGTGTGAGCGATAGGCTGTTATGATGGGTTATGGCCGAGAATGATACTAATACACCAGCCAGGCCCTGATCTTCAACCGAGGGAGAAAGAAAAAGATTATCGTGCTACTGAATCACATGATAAATGAAGCCCTTTCTTGACCAGTGACATTTAATTGTCCTTGAGCAGATTTTTGATTAGTACTAAGTGACCTTCGTATTCTCCGGATTATGACTAGCCTATTGTATTATAGGCACTATTAATTGGTTACAGTAAACTGAAACTACGATAGTTTCTCTGCATTATTTTATCAGTAGTTAGCTTATCAATTTAAGCAGACTGCCTGCCAATCAAAAAAGAAACTCAATCTCACTACTAATGAACAAGACTTAAAGTAAACTTTAGTGAACACCTTTTTGTTTATATAATAACATAAATTTCAACAGTTTAAAAGTGTTCACTTATCTATCACATTTGAAAACATGAAAATTGTGGATTATAATTTAGAGTCAGTCATTTCTACCTAGGATACTATATACTACATAATGGAATAAATTGTATTGAATATGTAAAATTTAAAGAAATATGCATCGAAACTTACTTAAACCAGCCGATAGTTCAGTAGTCGCTGGATCTATTAATATATCTTGAGGTTCATTATTATCTCGACGATTTCGTGGATCATATTTCGATGGAGAATTTGGATTATTATTATTATTATTATTATTATCAGCATTTTGATTTGTTTGCTTTTGTACATCAGATAGATTTGTAGGATTTAGTGTATTAGACTGATTAGATGCTCGACGCTTTTTACGAATTCTATCACAATCACAAAAATAAACATATTACGAATAAATTGATATATTACACATAAGTAATAGTTGAATTGGTTAACACTTCAATGAATTGTAAATCATATTAATAATGTATTTTGACTATTATGTTAGGTGATGAATAATATGTTAGACATATTTGATAAATAATGACACCAAAGTAAGAGGAAAATAACAAAAGTAGAAAACTATTCAAAAAAATCATGTTCATCTGTTTAACATTGGGGTTAGGAGGTGACAATTAGGTGAAATGTCAAATTAAGAGAAAAACTAGACAAAGAAGAGGTTTCTAATGACCAAACATGAAAACAAAGAAAGAAAACTGAAAAATATGTCTGTGCAAATATTTATATATAAATATAATTAGTTATGATTGAAAAATATAGATTACAATGAATGATGATCAACAGTCATGTAAAAAGACTAACCTTTTTGGATAGAGAAGTATATTTTGAAAAATCTTGATGCACGTATCAGACCTTATTAAAGATCAAATTAAATATAACACCATTGAATTGGCTATCCCAAATGACTTTGTTTAGATGTAAACCGGTAAATATAAACGAAACAGACTACTGGTCTGAAGTCTGCAATGTGTATTTGTTGAAAGTAATTTTTATCAGAAAATGTTATCAGATGTAGAAATTACCTTGTAACTCCTTAGTAGAATACATATACAAAATCACGATGAATAGAAAAAAGAATCGGTCTACACAAAATCTGTTATCTAACAAATAGCATTCAGATGATTTTTCTTGAATCCCTAGCTAGAAGCCATCGGATAGTTACACTCTAACCTTGGATAAAGATGATGTTGTTATAAATCAATTGACATATAAACTACTGAAGTTATAATTTAGTGCTTGTATTCTCAAAATATCCTGAAGATTTTATATTAGGTTCTCTCTTCTGAGGAGTTCACTACTAAAGTAAAGCAGCTATCTGATGCTTACTAGTTTTCCATTAGTTTACCAGCTAATATCAACTTTTAATGAAAATTACATTCCGTGTATCGACATTAAATTGGTTAGATATGATAATGTAAACGTATAAAGAACTAACCTACAAGTAAATTGATAAGATATTTGAGAGAATATAAGCTAGTTATTTGAATTTTAACCTTAATACAACAAATTCACTGGAGAAAATGGCGGATGTGTCGCTCAATTTCGTGCATTAGTTGAAGTTAGACATTAACATCATTAAGTGCCGGCTCAGTGGTTTAGTGGTTAAGCGTTCGCGCGCGAGACTGATAGGTCCTGGGTTCGAATCCAGCGAGGCGGGATCGTGGATACGTACTGCTAAGGAGTCCCACAACAGGACGAAACGGCCGTTCAGTGCTTCCAGGTTTCCATGGTGGTCTAGCTTCAAATGACTCATGATCTCAACCATTGAAATTACTACAATATCCACAAAAAGCCCTTCTGATACAAATTAACAATGTGATGAATGTTATACTAAAAAAAAGGAACCATCAACACACTTTACAGGTATTAGGGCATGTATTTAGTTGAATTTTAATGAAAATGAATATTTCAATGTACACTGTTTTGAATAAATAATATAATATACAACATTTTACTATTTATTAGTAAATCAGTAGTATAACTAAAGTATTGTCATTTCTTACTATAATCAAGTTAAAATCTGTAGTTTAATGTAACTAACTAGAATTCATATCTTATAGAGGGAAGTTGCGTAATGAATGTATAATTCAAACGTGAAAAGTAGAATACTTATTGTGAATTTATTTATAAAATGTACTCCGTTTAAGTGATCAAACTAATTTAAATGCTCATAATTTTTTATCCAATAAAAGAACGAATGTAAAGTGTTTCAAATGAGTGAAATAATCATAGAATTTGACAAATTATGAAGTGTTTTAGGAATTCTAAACAAAACAATAAAAGAATTGTAATACTGGTGATCCATGAACACATCAATCGATTTTAAATTACCATCAGCAACAGCCTACTGTGGGAGAGAACAAACCCGTTTCCAATTGAAGAGGAAATTAGGAAAAGATGCTAGAAGTGCATAGGATATATATTTCGGAAATCATCAAACTTCATCAGAAGGCAAGCGCTAACTCGTTTTCCGAAGGAAAAGGGTAAAGAAGAAGACCAAGGAATGCAGTAAGTCGGGGATTGGAAGCAGACATGAAAAGAATGAACAGCAACTGGAAGCAATTGAAAAGGATTACCCAGCACAGAGTTGGATGGAGGTGGGCGGTCTATTCCCCTTCAGGAGGGATAATAGGCGTAAGTAAGTAAGTATATTACTTATAACATGATAATTCATGAAAAATAAATACACTTTTTGTGATAAAGTTTCGGTTTAATTATAGATGTCAATAGTCAAAACGAAGATCATATAGATCTGAAGTTTCGTTAGCAAGAAATATGCTAGGAAACGAATTTTAAATTAATTCAAATGACAGTAATATAAGTTACATCAACCTATTTCATCTTAACATATTTGTGGGCATAACGAAGCATTTCTCTTCACATCTTGTTGTTTATAGTGCAATTCTTATGCATAATCATCATAGTGTTTATGTTTTGAGAAATATTTCTATCTAGTCGTGAATAAACCACATACATACAAATATACTATGATAAATGCATAGTAAGAACAAAGGTAAATATTTATATTTTAACTGTTTTAATATATCAAAACATTTCATTGCGAAGACTTGTATGATGTAATCAGACATTCCAGTTTATGTAAACTATCTAGATTTAATTTAAGCTGTCTTTCTGAGTGCGGTGGGTTTTTTTTTGTTTGTAAAAAGTCATGATAGAATGATTCATTTTTTAGGTTTTTAACTCAAATAAAGTTGATCTAGTCTGTATAGTTGTGATTTTTTCGGATTCATGCAATAGTAGTATTGTTGGTTTAAATGTTAAATTAAGTACTTGATGATAGTGGGGACCAGAAACAAAACTTGACAGTTATGTTTAAGTTTCATTCTCTGGTAAATAACCTGCAAACACTCATATAACCAGGGTAGGTTAAGTGTAAGGATAAATTGTTTCAATTTCCGTATAGCCAAGGCTTCAATAAACCTTAGTATACATCCTCGAAGGCTTTTGTATAACACTACAAATGCCGACTTGATGTCAACCTTATAACCAGTCTCAACCAAATGTTTCGCAATGGAGGATGATGTTGGTCTATCCTGTGATCTTATTTAATCATTGGAATCCATCTGCTTCTGCAGCCATTTTGGTATGTGTTCATCCACCCTTAATTGCAAATCTCTATTGCTCCTCCCTATGTACGGGTTTCCGCACATACATGTAAATTGATAGACACAATCGCTTACGTGCTGTTTGGGCTTTCGGTGAAAAATAGACCTTGTCTTTTCGATAATGACAAGTTGGGCTGTATAAAATGTTCGATTGATAGCTAATTTAAGTCTCCGTTTCAACATGAGACTATTTGTGTCGCCTCTAAATGTTACCGTAATGTAAACTGGCTTTTTGGGTGCCAGAAGCGTCATAGGTCTAGTCGTATTGCAATCCTTACACAACATAGTCTTCCATTAAACATTTGATTGCACATTTAATTGCACTATTATTTATCTCACCCTATCTGATCCATATTTATTCAGATCATGGATCACTTAACATTTTCACTTAACAACATATAAGCTGATTAAAGTTAACATTTCACATGAGTCATACTTTTATTTATCGTTTGTGCGTAAGACATAACAATGTAGACAATCAAGTGTTGATACGATCTGTTCCAATGTAGACTAATGTAAACTTGTATTAGTCTCTGCATTTTATATGATTAATTAATGAATGATAATTAATTGAATGTTACACATAATTCATTAGATATATTAAATTAATAGATTTTGATGTGCATGTATTTAATTAGCAGATACGTCTTTGTTAATGGGCTTGATAATAGTTAGAATGGAATATTTGAAGAAAAAAAAGGAACCTATTCTCTCAAAAGTTACATTGACCATAGAAAAACAAGCGTACACAAACAATTTTTCCATATGAATATAGTGTGTACAGTTCGTTTAAATTTAAGACAATAGGAATGAAATGCCAGGAAGTTTCAGACATCTTTAATGAAATGTATTACGCGTAGCTGATTTGAACATTCATCTTTCTTTGTGTACGTAAATTACGTAGATATTTTTTGTGGTATTACGGAATTCGAATAAGGTCGGACAATAAGAACTATAGGGGTTAGTGTAGACACCTTAATTTTAAAATGATTCAATGTCGACATTTTTATCTATAAGATATGATAACAAGGGTTCAGACCATATGGGGAACATCAGTTCTCTTCAAGATTATAGATAATCTTCACTGACTTGTACCAAGAAGCAAGAAATCTAAGTCTAATGCTCCTTTTGTATTGGCCATCAGACATAACTCAGAATACGGTATACGCGAAAACAAGACAGTTAAAGTATAACAACCAAGTTACAACAGATTGATATAATTTCAACAGTACTAGAGACTAGACAATATGACATTAATTGCCATTCAGTAATTATTTACTATATGGCGCATATTGTTGAAGAAAGGAACTAAAAATAAAATACCATTCAAAGAAATTTGAAATGTAATGAAGCGTTTTGTAAGACTGTATTATATGGAAGGGATAGTAATAAAGTTTCAACTGATTAGTGAATTCACTTTGGTAAACGTTGAATCAAACTGAAACTTCCCGAAGGGTAGATTTGTCAACCTTTTATACGACCAAATGTGTGTATTTAACATACAGAAAATAGTGTTCGTCAAGTATGTGATGAAAAACATATTTAAATAGGAAAATGATAGGTGAAACTCACCGGTATATATTACGTATAGACATATAAATCCAAGAGATAATAATAAACGGTGGCGGTAACAATGGTCTAGATTCATATTCAATAATCACTGCATATCGTAGATAGTTATAAACTAATTCAGATTGTTGACGTACTCTAGCAAATATATCATTGAATACAGCAATAACAACGTTGACAAATAGAATGATGGAGTATAACAGATATATCACTGTCGCAATTGGGACAATTTCTAAAAATGGTGCAGACTGTGATTCACTGGGCCAATCAATAGCTAGAAAAGAGTAAAGAAAAGGAACGAAAACTTTCTAGGTGAATAAAAAGTCTTTTAAAGAATTCCAACATGCAATATGTTAAAGTTGATAGGAGATTTTGAGAAAAGTATGAAGTCCATAAAATATCCTATTAGGAAATATCTGTCAATGTCTAGTAGATCCCAAGAATCTAGAAAAAGTTTCATATCACTTTTAGTTAATCGGTGACTTTGGAACATTTCTAGAGAAATCCAGAAGCCAATGGTATTCCTGTCCTTCTTGCATTTGATTCTAGTAATCTTAAAAAGATGCAAAACATATGTTCCTGTCGATCTTGTGAATGCAGTATATCAAGAGAAAGAGAGAGATGAAATCAATGAGGAGAGAATAATTGTTAAACATTTGACCATATATCTTTGTTTCCGTTTCCTTAAACTTTGGAAATTTAACAATCAGCTCACATAATTGATTTTTACCAAATCATATAATGAATAACTGAATAAGAGCTTTGGTAATTATACTGAATAAAGGACTTGATGATTAATACATAAACTTATACTGGACAGCAGAGTCATCGTTCTGTCCAAGTTAGACACCAGATTTGAGTATTCTAAATAACTTGAAATTTTGAATGGGATTTGTAAATTTGTTGAAACATCTTCAGGATACTGTCATGAATGAGCTGCAAACAAATGAAACCAAGTTGTTAATAAGCAGATTGTAATATCACAGACATATAGTTCAGTGGGGTGTAAAATTTGGAAACTGTCTTCACAATAAGTCTCAAAATAAAAGTTGTTATCGTTATTATCTGTAAATAAAGCATTTTTTTCGAATAGAACTGGGAAAATTTTCTTTAAAATAATGTTCTGACAACTACTATCCAACTATATTTTCTCCTAATGATCGGCTTTTGTCTGTTAAGTAGTCAATTATTAATATTCATTTACCTTAGAATCAAAACTACAGGTAATATTATTGAGATGGAGTGATTGAGAATCACGTCATCTAACTACATTTATATATGTAAATACAAAAATAAATAAAATAAAGACACGAATCTATCATAGGGATGAATAAACATGAGGTGAACCGTAAACTGACTAGATTAAAAAAGTAATAAATAGAGTGTAAGATATAGAGGAAGTTAAACAATGAAATAAGTGTATTGTTATTATTAAGTCTCAATTATCGTGAATATTAAGTCGATATAGTCATTGGAGACTATGAATCATTAAACGGTTATTCCATTTTGGTTTAGGACACTTCGTTAATATGTATCCAGAACTCGACACACAAGACAGAATACAGAACCTAAAAATCTTGTAGTAAGGATGATACTATTTAGTCGCTAGGTTGGAAAATAACTTCAGTTAATTAATGATATTTTGAGGTGATTATTAATGGATAGCTGCTTCAATTTTAACTTGGCTAATCACAAAGACTACAGTCTTTTATTAAAAATCCGTTTTAATGATAGTTTTTAGAGTGTGCTAGATTATTAGTTAGATGTCAAGAGTTCTTTAGCTGTCTTCAAATACATCATTTTAATGTTTAAAATCTTTTACTTATCCGTCTAACTTGATCTATACAAGTATAATTAGAATATTTTCGAGATGATAACTTTTCTCTTTCATCATATTTGCTTTGTTTTAATGAGGTTAGTTGATAGGAGAGTTTTTATTTTAATTTATCCCTAAACTAAATTTTATTCAGGTTGCAGAAAATAATTAATTACAATATAGTAATTATCACAATATACTGAATTGTTATTATTCTTATTCTTATCGTGTGAAGATCTAAATATCACATGAGTTTGTTTGGAATGAAAAAGGAGGACACTAAAATGATAGATATTTAACCATATAGAATTATATTCTAAATTTCATTATATACTGGCTCGAATTATTAAGAAAATGAATACAAAATTATTAATAATGATTGATTGGTTAAAAGAAAGTATTAAAAGTATTTATTTTATTATATTCAATATAACGGAATGTGATATGTAAACACTGACTTGTTTCAATGAGCCAATTACGTTTACCACCCATTAAGATTATAAGTATAATAAATTTTGTATATAAATAGACTAATTTACAATTATTATGAAAGTATACAAATAGTTATATTGAATAACTATTCCATATTAGAAAAGATAAAACTATTTTATTTGGTAGGAAAGTAGAAAGAGAATGATTTTAGTGTTGTACTCACTGGGTTAAATGAGTTAATAATGAAGCCTTAATTGATAATTCTAGAGAACAATTATTTTGAAGTATGTAATAATGATTATAAAAATAATTTAGGTTTTAGAATTCAACCATCCAGATAAAAGGATAAAATATTTATTTATTTAAGATTTACATTTGCTGAGCTAGACTGTTTGTCATTTGGTTGTTTCCCTGTATTTGCTGGATTGATAAAACATCAGAATGATCAATATGAGCAAACTGATAGTTTCGTCATGGAGTCGACCTCGGAATCCCTACTAAACGTTGTTTAGAAGAAAAAACCACAAGCCAGCCATATATTTCAAATCCTTAAACTAGAACAAACCAGCTGTCTGGTGTTCCTTGTTCTTGAATGATTCCTTAGCCAATCTCGGTTTGTGATGAAAACTATATTCAAATCTAGAAGATTAATTGACCCGATGAATAAATCAGTTTTCAATCAAAAAGTCGACTAATATACAGTTAGTCACTGGGAGAATGTTATTTTAAATTATGTAGGCATTACTCTATTGACTTAAGATAGACTATTTGATGGAAGTACATACTTATGAAGTTTAAGAAGATGACTGGTCGTGTGACTTTTGAGACCTATATTTGACTGCAAATATATCAATAAAATTAGGGATAAGGCGTTTTATACAAATTATCTCGGTTTGATGATAATTTCTATCACAGATTAACATTAGTAGGAAAACCCTAAGCAAGGGATATTTGTTTCGCTCACTAGCAACTATCTTCAGGTTAAATTGAACAGGTTTCAGCGAAAAGTAATGACTGCTGGAGTTTAACGATGTTGGAAGTGGGATAACCATCAAACCTGGAAGTTGTACTATTTCGTGAATTTACTAAAGTTGAAAATATAAACCATTAGACTCTAACTCAACTAGACTTTTACAAACTAATTTCATGTAGCTAGTATAACGCATTAAGATAAACTATGACTGTCCACACACGTTTCAATCACCTCAGTCAATGAGAGTTCACAACCTAAAAAAAAACTTGCCTGCCAACTATAAAAAATTACACTACTCACTAGTTCTGTAATATAAAAACAGTGCTTCAAAAACGTTAATGATTAATTACAGAAAGCTTATATAGGTTCTCTGTCAGTAAATGTTATGTTCACAATGGACTGTTATAGAGTATGTTTACACCATATTAGATATTAGATAATCTCATGTTTTTATAAGTTGTATAAATTGGTTGGAATTAAACAAGCCTCTCTTGTACTATCGATATTTGAATTTTATCAATCACTAGAGGAAAAGATGAAAACCAAAGAACACATTACGCCGGGAAATGGAGATAGATATGAGAAAAATGAACAAGAATCGGATAGAACTAGAAAAGGCCCAGGACAGAGTGGGTTAAAGTATGCTGGTCGGCGGCCTATGCCCCATTAGGAGTAACAAACATAAGTAAGTAAGAGTTGATGAGATTTCTAAGAAAAATGCCCTAGTCGTCTACTTTACTTAATATTGTTAAAAACTTATAATTAATAGAAACCATTAATAATCCATGCGAAAACATTTTACATTAGAAAAAACTATAAATGTATTCATCATCATGAAACATTATTATTTTTATCATTCAAACTATGATTTTATTTTATATTGACTAGAAATTTCCACTTTAAAATTGTTATTTTCACAAATTACCAGTATCATTGTACTCTTTAAAATGTAATCATTGAATTGTGTATTCTTTAATTTTATAAGTTTAAGTATAATGACAAACCATTTCAAGTAGTTTTACGTTAAAAAGGGATACAAGTACTAATAGGTACCAATTGTGTGAAGCGGTATTTCGTTTAATTTTAAGCGGTTTTTCTTAGAAAGTTTTTCCCATATGGTTTGAACAAGTAGTTGGATGAAAATTTGGAGCCAAAAATATTAGAGGGAACTATAAATACAGAATTTTTAATTATATTTTGAAGGTAATTTTCATTAAGAACTTACAGAAATTATTCTAGGCCAAAGAATACTGGACTGTAGATTAATTTGAACTAAGATGCTTGTGTAAATTCAGTAAACTTGTTAGTAGAAGGCTTTATAGTGTGAAGTCAAGTGATATTAACAGGTTCTTCAAATAGTGATAGTTAGTGCTCAGCTCAAACCTACGACTTAGTGAATGGAAGTCAAACGCCTCAATCGTTGAACTGTCGTTCCTAATTTTATTATTATCAAAACTGTATTTTTCTCATTTACAATAACACGTTTACGTAGCCTTTGGAACACTCCTGTTTGATTTTAAAATTTCAAATGCTATTAAGTTTCAGTTCATTAGATTCTGAATGCTTAGGTTTCTATAAGTTAAATCCACATGTGGTCGTCGTATAATTGAATTATAGTCTATCACAGTTTGATAGATATAACAGAATTAAAAAATATATTACTCACGATCTATTTCACCAGCATACACTTCACCATATAACATGAAATATGGTTTAAGCTAATGCCTTTAACAGCTTCAAGATTTACATTGGTATGTTTAGGATACATAATTCCTTGACGTATCGTACCAAATGCCAACAGTGGAAGAAATAGTAGTGAAAGCATAGGAATCATTAGACGAACCTGTAACATAAATTAATAGAAAAATGTCACAGTTTAGTTTTCAGTTAGTACGTATAAATGAACAGGACTAATCGTCATATACTGAAGAAATAGCAAAAATTGGGGTTTGAAATTCCAGTTGTCATATTACAAAAGGCACGATGATAATTGTAGAGTGTTAACCTGTGAAACCAACCGTTTGAGGAGAAAGTTAGCTAATTACTGACAGGATTAGATGATAATCGCAGGTATGTTGAAAATTGATTTGGTTTGAAAATAGACACTATTGGATTTCAAATCTATAGTCTCAAAAAACTGTGCTCGCTGTAAATTATGAAGGAAATTGGTAAAGAAAACTGTACCGATGACCTTGGAAAATATTTTAGCTAATCAGAAAAGTGTTTAGTTATTAAAAAAGAACAATTCATAATAAAATTCTATTACAACTACAATGGATAAACAGTTTTTATATAGTTGATGAACATTTACACATTGAATTATTTATCGTAGTAAATTCATATTAGGACTGAAGTGGGAGAATATTTTGTAGTTATAATGATGAGTGCTTATGCAGATAGCTTTCATAATCGAAAAAGATCGTAAATCATGTTAAAATGTCATGGGTATATCACTTCATTTTATTCTGAAAGACTTAATCTTTTCATCATCTTAGAAATTACTGAAGTTCGTCTTTCAATGTTAAAGTTTACACAGTTCATACGCGGCTCTTGATGAGTTATACGCTATCAGTCTTTGGATTTTCGATTTCGTGCAATAATTACAGAGTAGGCTCCTTAAATCTTATTGGTTCATTAATGTAGTTTACTTCTTGTAGTATTTAAATAGTATACTCAAAGGCTAGTAAAATAAGTTTGTTTCCTTTTAGTGAGCGAAAATTCCTGAATTTCATTTGCTACAACATCATAAAAACAAAAAAAAATCTAAATGTTAAATTTCCGATTTATATTTTATTTAATAATTTCGATGCAAATTCAATAATTTCTAGCTTTCTGTACTTTAGTTATACTTGCCGTTTGTTTGTTTTATGCAAAAAACACAACAGAATTTATAGTTTCCTTTCTAATTGTGGACATAAAAAACTTTCTTTTGAAGTTATTCGAAATAATAATACTGAATTTAAATCATATAATGTTTGGTTGTATATAATGTAGATTTTATTTTACGGTTTATGAAGTAAACGGCTAAACAAATCATACAAAGATGATTGTTGACAGGTTCTAACTAAAAGTGTATCATGATAGTAAAAATAAAAGCATCGTAGAGAATGAGAAAAAGAAGATAGTTTTACAGAAAATTTCAATACCATGAGAAAAACTTTTATTGTGATTCACTTTTTATTAGATAAGAAAGAAGGTAGAAGTAGTTATAAATTTGCTAGCTGATTTTCTTCAAACATCCTATCAGATGTATAAGAAAAGGTGAGGGTAAAGATCTCTTTCTCAGGGTTTCATCTATGCAAACTAATACGCATAGTATAGATGAATTCATTCCTGATAAGTGATCGAACAAATATATGTATGTAAATAGGTAGATAATTGAAACGTACCAAGGGCTTATGTATCTAGGGATATCCTAAGAAAATCTTTGTGGATCAACGATATTCAGTTTATTAATTGATAGGAATATAGGAATTTCAGAGACTGTAAGATCACTCAACAACTGTATACAAGATTATATCAAGGGTCAACAAGTGAAATATAGAGTCATATAGATAAGTTCCTGCTCAGAGTCTATTTTGGATTAAGAAAAGTGATGAACTGACTATTAATTTAGAGAAATAGATCCATTAAGTTCAGCTTCAAGTTTGATGGCTTTATACAAGAAATCTAATTCAAGATTACTATATTTATATCGGATGAAAAAGGGAATTAACCTTTGGGCGTCATTTGAAGAATTGGTGTAGCTTTGTATTTACACCCTAATAAAAAATAACTTTTGTCTTTATCAAATCATTATAAAAATTTCTAGACGGTTCCTTTCAACCGCTGGACCAGAAATCATCTTTGAAATTCTGACTACTATTCGCTTTGGCTTTTTCTTCATTTTAAACTTAAATTTAGTTAAAAACAGGTAAGCAACATTATCTGAAGTGCTGTCAGCGGTAGTAGGGCAGTTTTCATATCATGGCTATTCATGTTATGGAGAGATGCTTTTTCCTGAGGTATCTGCCAAGAAAATTGGGTTAATAGTGAACTTGGAGATTTAGGAGTGCGACTGCAGTTTTCGAAGTATAGCTGCTTGGGGCCGACGACACAGCTTTTTGTGAGTGATTTTAGGTGCGTTAGTACTATACTTTTAATTCCTTGCAGCTGGTAACACAAATCCGTGGGGCGATGTGAGATGTGGCTTTTTAGAATTGTCCTGTTTCAATCCCCTTCCATTTTGGTAAGGCAACATAGCTACGGATTTTAGGTATTTGGGAAAAATAAGTTACTGCTGCTATCTTTCGCTCTAGGACCTTCAGTTTACTGGTTTCATCCAATATGGCTAGATTGGATTATCATGATGGTCAAGCCCGGCTATCGCGCCAAGGTAGTAGATACGTGAGGGAGTGAATAATCTAAAACAAATAAGAAGCACTTTTGACTTAAATATTATTTAGGTAGTATATTAAAGAATGCTTAAACATATGAATCTTGTGGTACACAGTTCACTTGACAGAATCGATAAAAAAGACAATATACGAAGATAATCATCATCACATGAACATGTCTTTTGGAATTGAAATTAAACGATAAATAAAATGATACTACTTACCATTTTCACCAGCATATAAATGTATGGACCGGAAAATCGCCAAATTTGCATTAATTCAAGAAAACGCATTTGCCTAAAAGGAAAATATGTAACAATAAACGACAATGTAGCATAAAAATAGTGTTTAATAATGAATTTATTAAACTGAATTCGTTCGCAGTGTACCGCAACTGAATTAATACTTTATTTACATATACATTTTGATTTAGATCTCATTTCAGACTGTGATGTATGAGCTGTAGCAGTCTGAATCGATATACGTATTGATAACCAATCTTATGAATAATAAAACTGACTGACCAATTGAACTGAATATATTCCCTTTACCAAATAAAGTGTTCCAAGATGATTAGAATAAAAGTGTTAAATGCTTATGGATATCATATACCTCCAACTCATTACAATTTTAGAATGGTAAAACTAAAAAAAAACACTAAAGTATTCACTTAGTCTGGCTCAACACCTATTAGCATCTCCTTTTGTAAACTTATCTAATAGGAGATAGGGTTATCTGAAAGACTCATCACCTAAAGAATGAAATTCCTAGCCGCTTTTATTAATCAATTCAAACCTATTTGCTAATATTTGCTGAAATAATGAATGATGTAAAGTTTCTTACTTTTCTAAGTGTTTTTGTCTGAAAAAGGGTGTTTTACAGCTATTTAAATTTTTGGCCTTTATTAGAAAATTTTATTAAACTAAGAAATGTATACACTCAGAATATGCAAAACATTGTTCAACACGAATACAGTTTACATCACAAAATGACTTTGATCTTTAAAAAATTCTTATCAGTACATGCCCAAGACGGTGTTGGGGATCAAACATAGAAACTTCAATTATATATATATATATATATATATATATATATATATATAAAGAGAGAGAGATTTTATTCGACACAACGTGGGAGAGGTGAAAATGGAGCTTAACTAGTAAAAATGTACACTTACCATAATGAACAACATATAATTAGGAGATTTTTACCCCACATATAATAATTTTGATTAACTATACCATAATAGCGTAAAATAATACCAGTAATCGATAACAAACACATGATCATATCATAACTGTTCCAAAATGCACTTAGATGAACTGCAAATTTTTGAATGTACGTTGCACCTGGATTAAGTGTAACCTGAAATAATATGTTAGAAACAATAAGTAGAAAGTGATCATTGACATAACTATACCTGTTAGTTTTGTAAAAAAAAAGGAAGTGCAATACGATTTTTTTAAACTAATCACAAACTAAAGCTGACTTTTATCATGGAATTGTATAAGTTATAGAATTATTAAAAATTAAGCAGAATTCAACAAATGTTTCATTGAAATTTTGAACACATCAAGAATATGTACTCTTGATGTAGATGGAGGTCGAATGATATATATGGATCACTAGAGTTGAAATTCAATGGTTGAGTCAATTTGTTTCATAATACGAGACAGTCAGACCACTGGGAAAAAGATCTAATGATCAGTATTTGTAAGTTTTTGTTTCAAAAGAGTATTAGAGAAGTTTCGAGCTAAAGGTGAACAGTTTTCCAGTGTTTCTTGGTTTTTCAACGCTTTATAGATTATATCAGTCAATGATAAAACTATGTTGAAATAAAATATTTTCTGTTTATTATTGAAACATTTATTGTTAATCAAAATGATTCATTAACTAAGTTCATTCGATTTATTGACTTAAAACTATCTATCAGGAGATATATCAAACAGGTATGTGAGTATATACATAAAGACCGTTTCAATAGGACAATCGCAACAAATAGAGTGCCAACTAGTCTGAAATATCGTACAGTAGTGTGAAAATATTATCGGCTATAAATTTTTTATTTATATCCCTAGTGAAGACTTCTCACTGGAACTGCATGAATATATCTTGAAGTCAATCTTTAAAATGAACTGATTACCAGAAATCATCTATCCAAACAATAATCATATCCTTACTAGTGATTAATTATGAGATGGATTCTCAAAGTTTTATTAAAATGTCTATTCTGGGAGAGGGGAAGGGGTCAACAATTTCACTAATAACATGGAATGATGATTGAATTAAATTGTAAATGAACTAAAATGTAAAACATTAGAATCATGAAACTGACTACTACTACTACTAGTGGAAATATTTCCATCTTAATAATATCGTTTTTTGTTGTTGTTGTTGGTTTCTTTTAATATCAATAGCTACCTTCGTCGGTACTGATATTATATATATATATATATATATATAATTCTGCTTAGTAACAATCGATCAATCAGTGAAGAAACTAATTCTTTTCTACTGTTTTAGTTTCTAACCAGTAACATATTTTTTATGCATCTGACTTTGATGATATTTACAGTATAGTCATAATAATCTTAATAATATAATGGAACTAAGAACAAATAATGTTATTTAATAATAGAAAAATTATATTGTGTGGTAGACAATAACTGACATAGACAATGATCATATGATTTGAATATCGTAATCATTTCATAGATCAGTAATAAAGGCAAGTGTGTGTGTGTGTTTGTGTTTAGTTTTTTCTTTATAGAATCATGATATTGTCAAGCTGGGTGGGTGTATATCAATTTTACTGTATACTAGTTTTTAAAGAAATTTATATGTTTTGATTGAAAATTATTATTAAACAAAATTTATTCAGTAAGTAAATTCTATGAATGTTTAGAGTTACTTACTAGACGGTTACTTATAATTATAAGAGTAAAAATCGATACATTATTATAAACAATATATTGAAATAATGATTTTCTTCACAAGAATATGGACAGTCAGTCTTAGAAAAAGTAAAATCTCGCACATTAGTGCATTCGTTTATGCTATCACAATGCAAGTACAGAGAGATGAAAATGTAAAGACAAACAATAGAGTTGCAGAAGTAGTAACAATTTTAGTGATAGTAGAAAACATTACATATAGATGACATGGTTCGAGAGTAAGGAATAAATTTATAGAATAGGAAGTGTAAATGAATTTGCACCACTGTGACCATCAGTGAGCTGTTTTACCCGTGCACAACTGTCGGTCAAGATAATCGAGCGCACACCAACCAGGTAGTGTGCATTTACCTTTATGGTTCAAATCGAAAGTTAACGACTTCACAGATCGATATCACGTTTTTCTTTGACCTCCCCTGACCTTCTTCTGACATATTCCTATGCCTGACAACATCGCTCATACAAGTAGGCGGTGGCTAAATGTAAGTAATTTATGTTCTAAATACTTCGGTTAATAAAAATTCACCACCCCATAAACCGATTGGCCATTATCACCTAGTATCTTGCGTCCAATCTCAACACTTAACCATGTGGTTCTAACATATACGAGTAATGCTTTAGAGACGTCTATGATCATGTAACAGTAAATAACGAACTCTACATATCACAATGTAGTATAAAGTTGAGTACATGATTAGTAATAGTACTTCAGCAAGATAATTCTTTCGGGTGATTATGAAAAAATAGGCTAATGAGTTTTATTTAACTAAACAATTTGCTAGAAAATCAATGAAATAATGGTACTGACTGAGATGACTAAAAAAGAAACAATTACATATTCCTAGTCAATCAATATTGACCAGAATTCGGAGTACTGGTTGGAGTAAGAATATAACAGACATCCCTTTCTGGTGGAGACTGGAGAGAATCAGTGGAAAGCAGTGGTTTGAAACTATGGACAATAACTTATTATTATCCTCATATATATAAACCGGTTGCTTTTTAATCTTTTCATCATTGTTTACGACTATAATTGATCGGTCTCTTTGTTATATGTGCAATCATTGCGATTTGCCTCGATCTTGTCATTAACTCACACGCATTTAAGGAGATGCAGATAGTGACTAGCAGTCGAACCTAGGACATGCGTTTCGTTCTATTCGGGGCATTGCAGAAGCCAGTAGCTATCTGGACTCATCAGATATGTGGATGATGTGATCGCATTTGAAACAAACAGTACTTGCTTTAGGCCCCGGAGTGAACACCAACACTTGAATGCTTAAATTATTATTATTATCTTCATTTGTTTTTTTTTAAAAGGTTAAATTCCGACTGACTTACACTTATTCTTAATTTTTCATTTTTAGTTTGACCGATCAAAGTAAACGACTACATGTATTCAATTATAACAGTGAATATTACTGAGATGGTTTATACTAACGTAAAAAATTTAATAGTTTGAAATTAGTATTTATATTTTAACTAAACGTGATTTATCAAGATTTCACATAGTTTCAAAGTAGTTTTCATAATCAACTAATATTAGCTGAGAAACTACTAGAATTCAAAGAATATGAGACAGGTACATCATTACAATTTAAGACTACCGAGTTGTGCACACTTATGGCCACATACACAATAGAATTCGAAGTGTTCAAGTTTTGCAACAATGCAGTTACTAACTTGTGATATAATACATAATAATTTTTCTATAAACTATAGATTGAGGCCAAAATATGTGGATCATATTGGGCTTTAATTATTGTGGTTTCATGTTACTGCTAATAAAATTTAAAGATTTTGATTTGTTCTTAGTGTAATACCGTAGGTGTATATTGCTAAAGAGTTTTGAATGCAGATGGATTAAAAAAAAGTAATTGATAGTCTTCTGTTTTTGTTATTTTGTCAACTGATACCAGTTCATGATACGAAAAAGCTATTATAACATAAGAACAGTTTCAGGGTTTAAAAAATATTTTGCTCAATTAATATCTTATAATTATTCGAAAAACATTTATAAAAGTATTAACATAAAAGAGAATAATTGTTCTGGATACTCTTACCTCACGAAATTTATCTAACCAATACGTTAAAATATGTAAATAAACATAAAGTTCCAAGAACGAAAATGTATCCGGTGGTAGAGTATGGATGCATAGACCAATAAATAACACAAGGAATACAAGGTATAAAAGCTATAAGTGAAAGAAAGAAATAGTAGAAGACAGTAGAATAGTAAAATAATGAATGAACACTGAATAACATTAATTACTAGTTTTTAATTCTAAATAAGCAATTCAGTAACTATTAATGTCAACCTCAATGGTTTATTTTGGTAGATATGTATAAGGTTGATGATAGTTAATTTTATAAATTAACCTGTACTTATGAACGAGTTAATAGTGTTGGCACATTCATTAAAATGTAGTAAATATATTAGCCATGAATGGATGTGATTCTGTCAACAAACTGGTCTGATAGTAAGTAAATATAAATTGTTGTAGTGTTAATATGCGTTTCAGTATATCACCATAGAGGCTATGGACGATGTATTTTAATCGTTTACATAAATAGGTTGACTGCATCAGTCATTAAATTGAACAATTTATATAAGCGTGATTAAAATGGATGCTAGGAAACAGTTTTTTTAGGAGAAATTACACACTGATAGAATGGAATACTACAAAGACTATATCAAAGTGTCGACAGAAGTTGTTAATAGAATCACTAATTGTACTACCATACATACATATTAGTTTTTTAAGTAGTCCTTCTGGATCATTAGCCGAAAGTGAAGAGAAAACAGTGGTTGTGAAGCGTAGTAGATGAGTAATCATCCAGCATTTCTGAGAAGTGATATCTTTCATCATTTAATTTGTTGTTGACGACTTCAGCAATTGTATTGGTTGTAGTAGGGATTATCTGATGAATGATTAAACTGAAATATATCGTTTCTAGAATAATATGGTTTGTAGTGTATCCCAATTAGTTCCCTTATCACTGTGTTATATGAATTACAAAACATAAATAACCACACTGAATCGAATGTATTTATTCTTCAATTGTTTTCTTCACAATCTTGAAAATTCGTTTACTACATATATTTTGGTTTTTTGAATCCTCCTATTGTTGTTACAGAGTGAACATCAACTTTCAGATGGAGACACATCCAGCTAATGAGTCCCAAACAATACGGAACTCGTGTTCTGGATTTCTTTTGCTAGCCACTATCCATCTATGCCTAAAATTCTTATACTAGTTACGATAACTTTGCTACGTTTACTTGTTTGCATGACAAAACTCTTTCAGTCCTCTAATGACTGTGGAATATCTATGTGTAACAGTCTTCATATTCACTTCATTAGAATTCTTGAAAACTAAATTTCGTAGGATTATACTATATTGACGATCTAAAGAGAGAGAGAGAGAGAGTTTAAAAGTGACACCAAGAGATTTCAACGGATTGTCAGCCAATCAAAATCCGAGGGATATAAATGGGCAATTAGTTATAAAAAATTAAGTTTTGAGGTTAGGAATTAAGGTGATGATTAAGATTTAGATTAAGTGATTGTAGTTATAATGAATATTTCTTATTATGAAGGAGGAATTTTTTATAGCTATGTGCATGAATACTCATGGAATTAATGCTTTGATTTAAAAACTCAAGAAATTTTCTTTACCTTGTTAATTTCATGGATCATATTAAAATGTATACGAATATTCGTCAAGATTAGAACGACTGGTTTGACAGTAATTGAGCGCCGAGTACAGAGAAGTCATTATATGTGAAAAATATATTTGATTTTGATTAATACCCTGAAGAAGTTCAGACAAGTTAGCTGAACGAAACGTTGGGATTAGTTAAATTTCAATCGCTGAGAATATTTCAAATATAATTTTCACATAAAATGTTACATGCCTTTTAATTCTATCTCTTTACCATTACATTTTCCTTAGAAAATCAATCTCTTTCTCTCAAGGTTAGTCTGAGAACCGTTCAAGTTTGGTTCTTTTCTTTGGTTCTTTTCATTTATGAGATGTGGCAACTTGGACTGATGCATATATGTGCCTGGTCTTACGTTGTAGCTGACTGACTGATTAATTTTAAGTATTTTTATAATTAAATATTAGTAGATTTTAATGAATTACAAACTATCTGTCGTCCTGTTTTAAATTTTGTAAGAAAAAGTAATTCAAAGACCAGTTATCCTAAATCTGACTGTTTCAGTGGTAAAGCATAGTTCTACCGAAAATTTAAATTTATCAACCTATTACCAATCAGCTGATATATTTGTTTGCTGAAGAGGTTCAAAGAAAAATAATATGGAAAATGAAACACGCACACAGATAATTTAGACTTACTACATGTAAATAAAATCGTGTTACAGGAGCACTAAAAAATTCATAAACTTTTTTACGCCATGATAATTGTAAACCATGATTATTTGTTGATTGAAAATCATATCCAACTGATAAATCACACGGTATCCATTGTCCATTACGATGATGATAACTTAATGAAGAAAATGAATGATCTTTTAATGTAGAATTTAATTTATTCTGTTTATTGTGATAATTATGAGTAAATATTGATGGATTTATTGTTGTTATGGTTGGGATTGATGATACATAAACAACATCACAATTGGTTGTTGATAATTTTTTATTATTGATTATTTTCTGTGTAATTTTATTTGTATCATTTTCATCGGGATTACTGTAAGCTCTGTTTCTTCTTCGTTCATATCGACGACGTTGCTGAAAATCATTGGACGCAGCTACTGATGCATAATGATTTGATGGAATAAGTGCAGCTAAATTAGATCTTACAATAAAAAAGAATAAGAATGTTGCAAACAAATTAATTGTTTCTAAAATAATGACCATAATACAATAACATATATAGGAGAATGATTTATGAAGAGTTGTATAGTTTAAAGAGAACTATGTCCAGAAGTAAACTTATATAATCTCTCGAGCTGCGGAATGAAGCAAAGGATATGTGATTAACGCATTCGACTCTTAGATGCTAAATAAAAGGCAAGGTTCAAACCCTGTTCGACCTTATTCCGTCTGGGAAAGTAAGTAAAATCACCAGCCTAGAAATGATACACGAATCTGTGTCTAGTGGGTTGTTAATAAATAAGATTTAGGATGTATAAGAAACTTCAGTAGTAAGTTTTGAATAAACTTCTTAAATTTGTTGTGGGAACCTGTAACCCATAAAAATGATACAAGTCAGTAGTGAGATAGTAATTAGTTACCGATGAAGTTGACTGGAGATCCCATTGTTTAATTGAGTTGAAACTGTGAATTCCGATTTCTTGTTTGAGTGATATCGTGCTTACCTTGAGTTCAAATTTATGGGATAATCTTAATTTATGTTTAGAACCATTGAGCGACATTATCCGAAATTAATTACAGTAGCACAAATAGGTTAGGTATTTATCTTTTGGAAAATATTAAGTTTATTATCACTTCATACTTTTTATTTTACGTTCTTTGTTGAACTACATTACATCTGATTAAGTCTTCGTTGACATTAACATTATTTCAATCATTTTACTTCACATTTAATTAAGTTTATCTCTTGTAGTATTGAGGTCAAATGTGATAACTTGGATCAATACACACTCTATTTATCATGATTTATGAATGACCGACTGATATACAAACGTTCTCATCATCAATCAAAATAGTTCACTTTCATTTATACAATTAAAAAAAAAACTTACCTTAACAGAAATGCATGTCTGGCTAAAGCTGCATTTTGAGATGTATTTAAAGCTGTTGAATATGGATGAAATGTATAACGTTGTTTGCGTATATGATTTCTAGATTCATGATGTAAACCATTAAAATTACGATTTGAATAACTATGTTTTGGTGTATGAATAAATGATTGTGGAATAGTTTGTGATAAATTATTAGAAGATTGTGATAATTTATGATTTTTAATAGTTGTCAAAGGATAAGCTGATTTATAATCTAAAACAAAAACAAATTATTTTGAATAAATAATTAAAATGATGGATACTATTTTGTAATTAAATAATTAAATAATAATATGTAAATATAATAATCAATCAATAAAAGCATAGTGATAACATGATAAATGTCATTTAGTCATTGAATTATTCAATTACAAATTAAAATGAATATATTTATATTCATTTCATTGTTTTATTAGAGATTAAAGCAGGTTATTGTTTTTTTTTAAAAAAAAAAAGGAAAGAAAGAAAGACTATGGTAAATTGACAAAAATGAATTAAAACTGTCAATAAAAAGAAAACTAGTTTTTGAATTTACGAAATAAATAAACTAAGAAGTTGATTACATCATGACAGTAAATTATTAGTCTTTGGATATGTTTAGTAGGTTAGTTATTATAAGATTTTTTTTCTTTTTGAGAATGGAACTGAAGTGTTTTAATTGGTTGATTAGCGTACCATTTTTAATGAACTCTACTTATATGAATAAAGATGATAATACAATAGTACTGATGTTATGCAAACTGCTTAAATGTATGTTGTAATAGTACTTAAATGAATGATATTCATTATTAGTTTGAGTACTATTAAGTTGAATGCATTAACTAATGTGAAAATAAATAAATCTGAAGGAAAATTGCAAATATTTTGATTATCTTTAATCTGAAATCTCGTGAAATGAACCATAGATGTGTCTGAGAAAACACTCGACCATTTGATGAGCGAATATTCTTCAACAAACGTGTGTGATGAAGCGAGGATATAAATATGCAGAAAATCAGTTCAGAATGAGATATTATTGTATAAAATATTTAGAACTTTTGAAGCCGATAGTAGTTATATTCAAAGCTGATGGAGAAAATTTACAGTTCAGATGAATAATTTTAATGATGTTTTATTCTTTCTTAGCTAGAAGACTTAGTTAGGCTTTATTATCATTCTGAACAACATTATTAGCGCCTACTACATTTATAAGGCTACCAGTAGGAAACAAGGTAATCAGAATTAACTGACGTGATACACGCCAAGTAATCAAAATGTTCACTTTTATATGAATTAAACTGTAATTATGTCATATATGTACTGTAAAATGGTAAGCTTTTTTATGGGAATTCTCTTCAAATATCTAACATCATTCGGCCTTGTTAAATATAAACCGTTCAAAATATATTAATCAACCTACCAACAGGTAACCCGACATTTATTATTTTTATTACTTTAGATGCAATAAAGTTTTCCACATCTCTTTCTCATAAAAATCAACTGCGGATTATTATAAACTGTTTATGTGTTTATTTACCTCCAAAGTTGAATAGTCCCAGGAAATTCAAGTTGAGTGACACTGATAATTGTGTTTAAAGGAGGATCTTGATCATAGTAGGATTCAAAGTGGGAAGACCATTGGATAAATAAATTTATATCATTCCTATTGAGCTACGTAAACCATCTGTTCACTGCTTGTATTTTATTCTATCTGTCTGACCATTAAAAAGTTTGTTGTTGTCTACATACACTAGAATCCTTCTACAAAATAGGTTTCTTTGTTCGAAAAATGTTACTTATCTTCTCTGTGTACAAGACATCACTCTAGAAAATATTTTTCTATATGTCAGACAAAAACTAATTATAAAAAGCTGAAATAGTAAACATTTTTGAGTTTGTTCGACGAAACTACATAATATATATATATATATATATATATATATATATATATATATATCTTACTCGGTTCACAACGATATCTGTGCGCTGAATTCATTTCTGTTGGAAGTGTTTTTACTGTAGGAACAACTTGCAAATTGCCATTTATGGTGTCAGAAACCATCTATGAAGAGAGAGTGAAAGAGAACAGTAGATAAAGAAAACAATACGAAAGCATGAAAGTTTACTTAGTCATCCATCCATCTATTAACAACAATAATATCATAACAAAACTGTAACATTCACAGATAGGTTTGGCTTAGTTTTCTGTGTCATGAGTGGGAGTTAAGAAAAATACCAAAATAAATTTTTTGTTATAAAAGTCTAAATAATAATGATAGCAATTTTTATCGGGAATCAATGAAATCAACATTAGCATTTCAACGTTCAACGTCCAGTCAATATTACTTATATTTTGTATAAAGAAGTTATGATATTCAAACTGGGTGTTTTCTTTTCGCCAAGTTTTTATATTGAATATCAAATTTTAAACTGATCAATTAAAAATATACTGATCTTATATATCAAAAATATTGATTTTTATCTTTGAAAGTACATTTTACATCAGTTCCTCCCAGGTAAAAAGTTCACTATAATAAAGAAGAAGAAGAAGAAGAATCCATTTCAAAGTTAATGAATCTTCAAACTGATGCATACAATTTATGGCTCATGGATGGATGCTATTAGTTGTGTTTTGTGTTTTCGGAATTGGATGTTTTCAAATTATGACGGTCTCATTATTGTTTACAAAAACGCCAACTAAGAATATTTACATTCAAAGGTGTTTATTATTCTCATAAACAGAAGTATCAACACTGAAGCTTGACTTGATAATTTCAAATAAATCGAACAGTTGCTAAAATGCTAACAGTTAGATAATGATATATCTGTGACATTTTAATGAATAGGAATTCGAGTTTCTGGGGTTTCGTGACTTAGTGCAAGTCACTTCTTCAGAGTAGACAAATATTTATGACAAACGTATTATTATTTGTTTATTCTCATGAATGTATTTATTAGTCATGTATATTGACTACTATGTTGATAGAACTGGCAACCAAGTGAATTCTGAGTGGTGAGAAATCTTTATAGTAAGGCTTACATATAGCGACTATTTATTGGTACAATACACTTTATTTTTTCATTACGGTGTACCTATGTTTATGGGTCATTGTTAAAAAGCTCTTATCGTAAAAGTTGGATTTTTATTAGAATTGAATTGAGATTATTAAAAAACAAAACAATATTTGACACATTAGAACAAAATTCACAATAGTAATAACACACAATAATAACCTACACGCTTTTCCTAGATTTAAATGATAAACCACCATCTGTGTGATCGTGGTGAGTTGACAGTGTGGTTAGTTCTTTTGCTGTATGAGGATTATTTGATATGTATTGTTTATTGTTTAACTGCTGATTAATTTTATGATCTATAGGATTATTAATTGATTCATTATAATATGGCTGACTGGATGAGGATGGAAAATTCGATAATACACCAGTTTTGTCAAGCTTATCAGTATTTTCTGAATGATATTTAAGAGTTGGAGACCAATCATGAACATTATTTATCGGTTCGAAATGATCATTTCGTTGATTAATTTCAGTTGATAATTTAGATGTTACAATATCATTATTTGAATTATGTGAAGAAAGAACCAGCTATTTTTAATATGAGAAAAGAAAAACAAATAATTTAGATTTGAGGCGATTAAATGAGGTAGATTTTTTATTGTGAAAAAAGTAGTTATATGTTAACCCAGTGATAAGAAAACAACTATGGAGTATAATTATGAATAGTGAGTATTAGTGGAATTGAGGAGATATATTTATTTATAGTTAAGATTTATCATATCTTAATCCTAAAATTCGAAATCAGTACCCAAGACTTTGAATATCAAAACGTAATCTGTTAGGTGTACTGGGTTAAGTGATCCACTGACTAGAATATAGAAAGATTCAACTGAATTCCACTTGCAGACACTATTCTAATTATGGCCACCAAATAAACACGATCAGTATAGTAACATCTTCTGAAAATACTAGTTAACTGAGATTGATTGGTTGAATCAATTCAGCTTACAGTATCAACAACATGGAAACATAAATCTTTACATTTAGTAATAACTATAAAATATTCGTAAGAATTTGTGATCAAATTGAAAATCGGCAAATGTTGAATATTGAATTAACATGTTCATTGTTAGACTTTTGAAAGTAATTAAACGGAAATATTGCATGATTTATATTTTGCTGTTTACGTTTTTAATTGACATAGAACACAGTTGAAATGACAAGAACAATTTTTTAACTAAAAAAAAATTCAATTTCATGTTTCTCAGCTTCTTTCCAAAGTCACCACCAATCAATTATTTGCATAATAACCAAAATTTAACAGAATTAAATTCAGAAGAAAATTAACCATTAATTGTGACGTTATTTATTGTAGTATGTTGGTTAGTCGGAAAATGTATGTAAACTTTACTTGTACTAACTATTACCTACTTACATGAATATTTTAGCGGTTTTTTTAAAAAAGAAAATGAATAACAAAACAAAATGAACAAGATAAAAAAAAACAAGGAATTTTAAGTAGAACTAAATATCAAATTTAGTTCGATTTGTTTAACTACAAAGTGAATAAATTCTAGTGGTTTATTTTCCGTGAGACGATATGAAATAAGTATATTAACTTAATCAAAGGTGAATAGATGGAGAAGTCGATGTTGGGGGAGATCGAAGTCACTGGTTAAAAATGAAGATTACATACAGACTATATAGTTCACTGGTATGTATCAAATAAAATGTAAATTGTAAGTATAGCGTTGTGAAGATCATTAAATTTTACTGAAATCCTGAACCGTTCTAAGTTACGCCACCATTGGAAACCTGAAAGCACTGAACAGCCGTTTCGTCCTTGTACGCGACTCCTTAGTAGTGAACACACACGACCCACATCATTGATCAATATTATCATGATATATTACAATATAATATGTTTGGTATTTTTCAAGGATTGTATATACAACAATCAAATTTTGCTCCTATTGAGATTAAAGTGAATTAAACAGTCAATCATAATAAACACACAAACCGGGATAAATGTTTGTTACCCCAATTCTCTCTAGTATATGAACACAGCAAGATGAAATTAGAATGATGGGAAGTGAAAGGAAATATAAATGATAGTAGTATCAGTTATATTTAAAGTGAGCACTGAAAAATAAGATTTAAAAAGAAGGAATTTGACTAAGCCAGGCATACTGAAACTCAAAACCTAGAGAAGGACATTAAGTGAATGTATATAGACCACTGGGATCGATTGTACGCCATATTATGCAAAGTCTCCAACTACCGATCACAGTTTTCTTATGGACTATAATCAGGTTAATTGTTAACATTTAGGTACTATATATTGAAGTTTTGGAATTCATTGCAGATATAATTGTACGATGTAAGATGAATGCTTGTGGTTGACATCAAATTTTTAAATTGGAATTTCTAAGTATTGATAGATTTCTTGAAAATATTTATTTATAGCAATCTAAAAGATTGCACTGCTCTAACTAATTAAGCTTACTGTGGTTAGTCATTATAAAGGACTACATACACAATGAAAGTGACTAATCTCTAGCGACCGACCAGAAATACATATATTTATCTGTCATATGACAGTTAAAAGATTACATTGTGAATGGTAGGTGAAAAGCGTTTGTACTAATTGTAATTGTATATATGGATGTATAAAGCACAGCTGAATGATTTGAACATAGTTAAAGATTGTATTTCTTTTTAATACCCAAGATGATTTAAAATTATATCGAATGTATAACAGTACTATAGGTAAATAGCATTAAAATGAACATTAATCATTCAAGCAAAGTGAAATTATTCAATGTTTTCTGATTGTATCAGTTGTTTTGCTCAAATAAATGCTCAAAAACCTAACTGTTTTAGTTTCATAACTGAGTTATAAAGACTTCAAGGATACATTACAGTAAAGGGTATTAAAAAGAATTCTTTGTTTACAGGATTACAATGTAATGTTTGTATTTGAAGTTATTTTTCACATCCAAGGACGAATATCACCTAGAGAAACATTAAAAACTAGAGAGCATTTGGCAGATATTTTATCCTAGGGTCAATACTGTTCGATATTAAATATACAAAACTCTCCCAGGAATCGGACATAAGACTTTACTGACGGAGTTATGGATGTACACTCTTGAGCTAATGTTAAATCAGGTTAAAATAACCACCAAAATTTCTATGTAATTCAACGGTTCTCCACGTGATATCAGCCCTTAGAGGAACGGTCAATACCAATCCTCTATTTTAATAGAAATGTGTGTCATCATTAGAAAAACATGATTGTACAACTCACTTTATCTGACTTATCCGATGGTGCAGGTGAATTTATTCTAATTGTTGGTACTTGATCAAGTAAACTATCTTTTCTTACATTATGATTTGATAAAAAGTTTTCATTAGTTAATTGTTTTTCGTTAGGTAAATTGGGATGATAACTGTGTTGAAAAGGAGAATAATTCAACGAGATGTGATAGAAAAGTTAATGGACAAGCAGTGCTTGAACTAAACAATAGATATTACCTTAACAAATTTCATCACAACAAATATTAATTGCAAAAAAAGTATTTAAAGCAAGACGTTAAAAGACATGTTTTGTTTTAGTTCTGGTCCGGCAACAAGGAACAATTCAATAGTATTTAGAATAGATGGATTATGGATAGTAGTCAAATCCAGGACATGGGTTTCGTTCTCTTTGGGGCTCAACGACTAAATGACCACATTGGGACTCGAACCTATCATTTCTTGCTCTAATCGCCCAACACGTTATCCATAGAACTATTGAGTTCAAATAACCGTTAGTTTGTTTAGCTGGTATGGTATTTATCACATCATGAGTATTTATCCGTTGCTGATAATCAGAACTGAGTTTCTATCAATCCTTGTTTGTATTCATGCATTCTATGTAGATCGCCTAGATACAGAAATATCATAATTTTTGTAGAAAAGAGAGATTATGGCCAGCATTGGAATTCAGGATAGAATATATATACTCCAATAAAAAGTGACCAACGTCTGAATAGAACCAGTATTTTCAAAGTATTAAAAAAACATACTCCTTGAACAATAATTGATGACCTGATTATAGTAGAAAACTATATTTGACACATCAAATAGAACCTGATTTATGAATACAGTAGCATAATTAATTAAAACCACGTTCCAAATGTCCTGAGATTCATTAAGGCTAGATTTTTGAAGAGTTGAATAAACGAATAAAATTCTTGAATAGAGGAATTCATCGAGATAATTAAATAGGGTTGGTTGGACTTATGGCTGAGTGAATTTGAAATCGATTGAAACTTCCAATGTAGGTAAGTTCATAGTGTAACGATTGATAATATAGATGGGGACGACCAACGGTTGATTAAATAATCTAATGATAACATTGCCAAGGGTAACACTACTTGTCAAAAGGTCAATAGGTTAGAACTAATACAAATCTAGATAAAAAATCCAACTATAATAAATCATTTTTAAAATTCAGTAAACAATACAAAAACATATGTGGTATGCATTTTTTGTGGAGTACGAGAACTTACACAGAAGATCGTCTGCTAGCAGAAGGCGATGAGGAACTCGACGAGGATGATGACGACGATGATGAGGAACTTGACTCTGAAGAATCCTCTAATTCGTCCAAATGTTCTTGTAATGTTTGTGGTTGTTGAGCTAGTTCTTCTTTAGTTTTAAATTCAAGAAATTTACTCTTTTTCGTAAAAAAAATGCGATTAACGGATATAATGGTGGTACTATTAATCCAATTAATATGAGTGCTACTTTGGCACCGACAAGATCACCTTTACGTAGACCACCATACCACAAATCATTTAATATTGCCTGTGTACAAGGATGACCAATGAACACTTTGGATTCACACATATAAGCTAAACTTAAACATGTGTTTTTTGAAAATGCTTGCAATTCATATGTGAGCAAACGTTTAGCTTGATCTTGATCGTGTCGATAACAATGATCTTGTAAATCAACAGCTAGTCGTTCCAAAGCACTAAATTAATCGGAGAATAAGAGTAAAATGGCTCAGTAGGTAAGAATAAACACTAGTTGGAAAAATAGGAAAATTAAGCATGTACCCTAGCCAACATATTGGACGACATTTAGAGCTAATTATAATCACTTATTTCAATACCAGATGTTTTATGATAGTTAAGAATTCTCAGTTCTGTAACAAATTCTCATTTATTATTAAATTCAAGTTTGACGATTTAAGAAAAATATTTAAAAACGTTTACAAAACTGATTTCATTTCCAAATATTTTTGACCGTTAGTTCTCTCATGATATTAGACCTTAATTGCATCCTGCAACTAATATCTACACGCTGGGTTGTGGGCTTTCAGACTTCATACAAGTGTACATGCAGATGATAAACATAATTAGTTAAAACAAACAAACAAATAAATAGCGCTCGCGCGCGAGAACGAACGTCCTGGGTTCGAATCCGGCGCGCGGGATCGTGGATGCGCACTGCTGAGGAGTCATATACTGCGACGAAACGGCCGTCCAGTGCTTCCAGGTTTTCCATGGTGGTATAGCTTTAATCGACTCATGAATTCAACTATCAAATTACTATAATCTCCACAAAACTCCTTTCTGAGAATAGATAACTGTTTTGTTTTGGCTAGGCGAGATCTAACTCGAGAGTATTAGATGTTTAAGGTATCGAATAAGAATCCAGTTGTCTATAATTTTAATACAATTTGTAATGTAGGATGTAATATCTTTTTGAAGGTCGTCCGGTTTGGAATTTTCTTCACTTCTGATGTGTTCCGTAACAGGTTGAAACAACTACCCAATCAACTTCAACACACTCGACTTTGTTAAGATATTCGAATCAAAGAAATTATTATTTTTTCATAAATATTTTATCTCGATATACAATTAACATGACTGTTTTTTGATAGGTTTTAATTTGTTTTTTTGTACAAAAATTCATATTGTTACTGAAAGAGAAGATAAATTTGTCTTATTACAGAAAACATTCCGAATGAATAGACATCAATCAAGCTGATTGTGGATAGTTAGTCAACTAATTGTAGATTAATAAAGATGTATATTGGTTACAATATAATAGGCTCTAAGAAACTTCACAGTATCTTGTTCTTTGTCAGAATTAAGGATTGTAAGTTTGATAATACTGCGGTTGGGCATCGAGGCAGCTCAATTGTTAGGAGTAAGAAAATAAGAAAGAAATAGTTTCCAATTTCTCTCGATCATCAACTCCGCCTGTAGCTCTAACAGGGTTACTGCCGGTCCCAAGCCCGGATAAAGGAGGAGGGTTGGGCATGGGGTTAGCGTCCCCATCCCGTAGAAAACTAACTCGCTAAAAAAACGCTTACCAGAAAAAATAATCCAAACCATTTAAACTCTGCCCTGGGAGTTAGAAGGTCTTCAGTTAGAAGAATTATGACGCTTCATGGTGAAAGCCGAGTTCCTTCGGAAGCCACGAGGCCGATGCCCCTTCTAACAACCAGAGCAAAAATTTTTATAGGTACATGGAACGTTCGAACAATGTGGGAAACCGGGAAGACCAGTCAAATAGCAATGGAAATGAGGAGATACAACTTAGCAGTACTGGGAATCAGCGAAACCCACTGGACCCAAGCTGGACAGAAAAGGCTAGCTACGGGAGAGATGCTGCTATACTCCGGTCACGAAGAGGAAAATGCTCCACACACTCAGGGAGTCGCTCTTATGCTGTCCAAAGTAGCACGAAATGCACTTGTAGGATGGGAGTCTCACGGATCCAGAATCATCAAAGCATCATTCAAAACAAAGAAGGAGGGGATCTTAATGAATATTATCCAATGTTATGCACCCACCAATGATAGCAACGACGACATTAAAGATCAGTTCTACGAGCGGCTGCAGTCAATCATTGAGAAATGCCGAAGAAAGGACCTAACTATTCTGATGGGAGATCTAAATGCCAAAGTCGGAATAGACAACACTGGATATGAAGATATTATGGGACGACATGGACTGGGAGAAAGAAACGAAAATGGAGAAAGATTTGCAAATTTGTGTGCATTCAACAAATTGGTCATAGGAGGCACAATATTTCCACACAAGCGTATACACAAGGCTACATGGATCTCACCGGACCACACTACAGAGAACCAAATAGATCATATTTGCATCAACAAAAAATTCCGAAGGACAATGGAAGATGTGAGAACCAGGAGAGGTGCTGACGTAGCTTCAGATCACCACCTAGTTGTAGCCAATTTAAAACTGAAGCTGAAAAAGAACTGGACAAGTGGACAAACAGCACTACAAAGGTTCAATACAGCCTTCCTTCGAGATACTGACAAACTCAATGAATTCAAGATAGCTCTCAACAACAGGTTCCAAGCCTTACAAGATCTACTGAAAGAAGAAGAAACTACTATGGAGGACAACTGGAAAGGCATCAAGGAAGCATTAACTTCAACGTGTCAAGAGGTTCTGGGCCTAAAGAAACACCATCATAAGGAATGGATCTCTATAGAAACACTGGACAAGATCAAAGAAAGGAAGAACAAGAAGGCAGCAATTAACAACAGCCGAACACGAGCAGAGAAAGTCCAAGCACAAGCTGAATACATAGAAGCAAACAAACAAGTGAAGAGGAGCATTAGAGCCGACAAGAAGAAATACGTGGAAGAACTAGCAACGACGGCAGAAAAAGCTGCTAGAGAAGGAAATATGAAACAGCTTCACGATACAACGAAGAAACTAGCAGGGAAATACAGTAAACCAGAGAGGCCGGTCAAAGACAAAGAAGGCAAGCCAATCACCGAAATTCAACAACAGCGTAACAGATGGGTAGAATACTTCGAGGAACTCCTGAATAGGCCGGCTCCAATGAATCCACCGGACATCGAAGCAGCACACATAGATCTTCCTATAGATGTCAACCCACCAACGACGGAAGAAATTAGAATGGCCGTCAGACAAATCAAGAACGGGAAAGCAGCAGGACCCGACAACATACCAGCTGAAGCACTGAAATCAGACATCGAAGCAACCACAAGCATGCTATACCTTCTATTCAAAAAGATTTGGGAGGAGGAACAAGTGCCAATGGACTGGAAAGAAGGACACCTCGTCAAGATTCCAAAGAAAGGAGATCTGAGCAAATGTGAAAACTACAGAGGCATTACACTACTGTCAATACCAGGGAAAGTCTTCAACAGAGTGTTGCTGAACCGGATGAAGGATGCAGTAGACGCCCAACTTCGAGATCAACAAGCTGGATTCCGTAAGGATCGGTCGTGCACAGACCAAATTGCAACACTACGGATCATCGTCGAACAATCAGTTGAGTGGAACTCATCACTATACATCAACTTCATTGATTATGAAAAGGCATTCGACAGTGTAGATAGGAGGACATTATGGAAACTTCTTCGACACTACGGAGTTCCTGAGAAGATTGTCAACATTATCCGGAACTCATACGACGGACTACAGTGCAAAGTAGTGCATGGAGGACAGCTGACAGATGCATTCCAAGTAAGGACTGGAGTCAGACAAGGCTGTTTACTCTCTCCCTTCCTCTTTCTTCTGGTGGTCGACTGGATTATGAAGACCTCAACATCTGAAGGAAAACACGGAATACAATGGACAGCTCAGAATCAATTAGACGATTTGGACTTCGCAGACGACCTAGCCCTCCTATCACGTACACACGAACAGATGCAGATGAAGACAGCCAGTGTAGCAGCAGTCTCTGCATCAGTAGGCCTCAGCATACACAAAGGGAAAACCAAGGTCCTCAAATTCAAGCGGAGAACAGCAATCCAATCACTCTTGATGGCGAAACTCTGGAAGATGTAGAGTCCTTCACATACCTGGAAGCATCATCGATGAACAAGGAGGTTCAGATGCAGACGTAAAGGCGAGGATCGGCAAAGCAAGGGTCGCATTCCTACAATTGAAGAACATATGGAACTCAAAACAACTTTCAACCAATATCAAAGTGAGAATCTTCAATACGAACGTCAAGGCAGTTCTACTGTATGGAGCTGAAACTTGGAGAACTACAACAACCACAATCAAGAAAGTACAAGTATTTATAAATAGCTGCCTACGCAAGATACTCAACATCCACTGGCCGGATACCATCAGCAATAGCCTTCTGTGGGAGAGAACAAACCAACTTCCAGCTGAAGAAGAAATTAGGAAAAGACGATGGAAATGGATAGGACATACATTACGCAAATCGTCAAACTGCATCACGAGGCAAGCCCTAACTTGGAACCCTGAAGGGAAGCGAAAAAGAGGAAGGCCAAAGAACACATTGCGTCGGATAATAGAAGCAGATATGAAAAGGATGAATTACAACTGGACGGAGCTAGAAAGGATTGCCCAGGACAGGGTTGGATGGAGAATGCTGGTGAGTGGCCTATGCTCCTTCACGAGGAGTAACAGGCGTAAGTAAGTAAGGAAGTAAGTATCAGGATATTCCTATACTCAGCATATACACAGATATTTCTAATAAGTAGATGAACGCAGGAAACATAAACATAGCTAAATGGTATCGAATGATATATCTTGCATACAAAAACATGCTGTACATGATGATTTTTATATAATTTATGACGAATGTTGATGGATTATGACTTAATTTTGAAGGGATTTAGTAAGAGTCTTTTGGAAATTGAGTTATATTCGGGGGCCTGACGGTTGAGGCGCTCGACTTTCAACCACCAAGTCCCGAATTCGAATCCATCTCCGTCCAATTCGGTTTCAGAGACCGGGTAGCATCATCAGCCCTCAAAATCAGATGATGGTTGGTGCACAAGCACTTGGTGAGTGAGCTCATCAATTATGTTAATAATCAAATTGATTGAAACTGAAATTGTACCACTGAAAGCCAATCTTGTGGCTCTATTTGTGAAGTGGTCTCTGAGAGATTCGCAAGTGCTGCGTTCGACCCCCAGGTGAAGTTTAAATTGTATAGTGTGAAATTCCAATGCTGAAACAAAACAGCTACTCAATGTTATCTGATTTTTACCGGCACGTCAACTTGGATCAACTTTTGCCGAATACTCTACAAAATACATATTCTGAACGTGTCAAGACTTATATGTTTTACGAGAAAAGATTTCATTTTCAGTTATGAAGGTCATTTTTGAAATGTTGAATATATATTCGACAATAATATTTTACAAAATATAAATACTTGTTGAGAAAAAGCCTAAATAATATACTTTCTAACATGGAATATTTGGCAAACAAACAGTAGGGGCTAATAAAAAAAGGCATTTACTCAACAGGAAAATAATAGTGGTGAGATGTTAATTAAACTATCCAGGAACCTAACAAAAAATATTTGATAAATTCTTTACCATGTGTTTAAAGTGGATAGAACCGTTAATAAACAAATAAGAGGATAGGAGTACATGTAAAATGAGATGTGTGTGGATCGATAAAAGTGTAATTACATCAAGATGATGCGAGGAACAAAGCAAAAACAACAATCCAGGCAGAATAATGTAACGGAAAAAATTAAAATAACAAAAATTGTCAGTAATAACTAGATGTACAACTATGGGTGAGGTCATTGGAAGACGGAATTCAGTAACATATAAGGGTGAGATAGTGATTCTATGTAAGTTTTAAAAACTAAGTATATGAAAAACACACGTGAATGAAATTGTTAGCGTGGATGAAATAACGATCGGCTTAGAGAAGATGTAATAACAAATAAACACAATGAAATAATAATTATAGACTTCTGTCTACCACTGACCTCACCCATGGTTGTACATATAGTTATAACTGACAGCCTTTGTTATTTCATTTTTTCTATTACCGATTTCTATAAATTCATATTACATTACACCAATGTTATACTTTTATACAGATATGATTGTAAACAGCTGAAGAGAAACAACGAAATAAAGTGAATTTATATTAGTTTGCCTCAGTTTTTGTTTTTAGATGTATAAAGGGAACCAATTGTATGAAGTTATTTATTTTATAATTACTTTATGAAATATTTCAATGTAGTCACCTTCACGACATCATTGCATAAATTGCTTTTAATTAATTAACAATACCAACAATAAAATACAATTATTAAACTGAATTTGAAACAAATGAAACACGGAGTAACGTAAAAGTTATAAGATATAGGCTGTTATGCTATAAATTCCTAATACGAAAGTACTGTAAAGATTTGTCAGCAGATATACTGAAAATATTGATATATTTGACCTTTCCGGCAGGGACAATATTTTTTTTCATAACTAAGCATAACTTTTAACCACACTCTGTATTCAATGGAATAAATATTAGTGGTTTTGGCCACTTATATCCATCAACTAAACTACCCGTATAAATGAAAGAAAATCGATGTTAAGTAATGTTAACATTTCAGGAAACATACTTGTTTGGTAGAAGTATGGCATTTAGATCAATCTGCAATCGACAACTGGATCTACATAAATACACTGTATCAATTTATGAAGAAAAGTTCAACCAATCACACGTTTAGTGGTCTACTAAAAGGAACAATCAACCGGGACACATTAAGGTAACAAATAACATTGTGAAAACCAGTAGAAAAACAAGGTCGTTAAGACAGGTTGGCTTAATAGCTGTGTAATAATCAAAACGTGCACTTTTACATGAAGTACCTGCTGATGTTGTCAAGAGGGATAAAAAATAGTTTTACATTTAAACTGTCTAACTCGTAAAATATAAAATTATCGAAAACATTTATTTAAACTGAAAATCTTCATCGTTTCGACATATTTAAAATGCACACATTGTATATTACTTACAGTTCATGTGAACGGCATTCATTAAGCAATTCAATATCGGTTTCTTCATCTAAAGTAACATGTCGAATACTCCGTAATAGTTTCACTGAAAACAAAGCCTATTTTAACATAATAAAAAATTATTGAAAATAAAAAGAACATTATCATGTATGTACTTAAGAATTATTGATTATTTGTAAACTAACTTTCATTAGTAATAGTGATTATTTCTTGGTCAAATGGTATGCATTCTTTTTTTTTTTAATTAATCAACAGTAATCTAAGACACTTAGAGAAATATATAGGTTTCCAGATAACCAATTATCTAAGAGGAACACAGTTAAGTATTTGATATAAATACTTTGTAGTTTGCCAATCCGAATTGTTTAACTTTCACTGTTTACTTTAATACGATCATAATGCAACGGCTCATATAATAGTGTAAACTACAAAATTATCGAGTATCTTCTTTTTTCTCAGACAATTACTGTGAAATTTCATACACATAGTTCCCTTGATCATTTTGAAAAGAGCTCTTTTCAAAATTACTGTGAAGTTTGAACTCCAACTTTGAAGATTTGTAATTCAGTAATACTTTACATGTTTTCACATCAGACTTTAAAGAAGATGTTTTTATTAGACTTATTTTCATTTGAAAGATGAGATATTTAAATAACTAAGTAGAATGGCCTTTTATGACACAATTGCTTCAGTACTAACTGATCTTCAGAGGACAGTTAATATCAAATTATTCAAACGTTATTGGGGAAAGAATCTCACTAACCAAAATCTTTTAAGCGAAATTCGAGGCTGTGTGGTTCAGTATTAAACTGAACAGTAACGCGTATTCATTAGTTGAGCAAATCACCTAGATGACTTGGTACATTTGCGGTATAAAACTCTTGTCAATTGATAATACCAATTAAATTTAATTGAATATTCATAACTTAAAACATTGAAAAATAGGCTAATACAAATGTTAAATAAAAACTTTCACATACATACGCGAGTAAGATTTCAAGTTACCTGGTTTGTTGTCAATAAATGATAGTTTTTATGTGTAAAAATAAATGTGATAATATTACTTCTATTCATGTTCCCTCAATGTCATTTACAGCTATTCGATTGATCGCTCTTGCTTTTAGTTCGCTACTTTTGTTGTCTGTCGCTAAACATATAATATTGTTCCTCTAAGGTTTTAACTTCTCAAATATCGGAGCTTTTTCTCAAACTCTATTTTCAGACGTATTGAGGGTTCCTGTTGAAGTGTTGTGTGCCAATTACCTAATCTATCGATTTTACATAGATCCAGTTTTGTATTACAAAAATATCCCAGTCGCTCTCAATTAGGAATAACAGTAGGTCAAAAGAAAATATAACTATATATCTACTAAACTTTAGGACATTGACAGTTACTGGATCGCATGAGGTCACATTCTTAATTACAGTACACGAAACTTCATTATATTGAAAAGTAATCTTAAGCTTTTAATAAAAAAACTTTACACTTGATATTTCGTTGGACATTATGTAATCAATCGAATTTCAACTAATACTATAGTCAATACAACCTAGCTGATTTATTGAAGGTAAAAATCCACTAAATATATAAGAAAAACAATAGTACTGATTAGAACACTTGCTTTAGCAACGGATTCTTCTCCAGCTAAAACTAAGAATTTAGCCATATCTAAACGTCGAGTTAACAATGTCCATTGTAATAATTCAGTGTAGGGATAACGAAAATATCGGTTTGATTGATTAATATCATTTGATGAAGTTGAATATGGTACATGTTGTTGTGAAGTATGTTGTCGATTGATAATATTTGTTGTGTGTTGTGTAACTAATTCTTTTGAAGTGATTAGATTAGATATTGATCCAGGGTTTAATGTGCAAGGTGGAATCGATTTATCTGATGCATTGTTTAGAATATTACTTGAACGGGAAGTTTTACTATCCACTGGTTCCTATTGTAAAGAATATGAAGAGATTAGTGAAAATAAAACAAGAATATAACAAAGTTATAACTTATTTCACATAACAGTCGAAAAACATTCGTTTTCATACCAAACAATATTGAATTTAGGAACTCAGGCTTCATTGTGTACGCCTAATCTTCACAAACTCTATTTAATGACGTTAGGAGTTTTCTGAAAGCCACCACGAACCATCAAAAGTCAGAACAAAATACACGTAGATTCATGTTACAAAGACTAGGGGCCACATTACAAAGCGGTCGATATAGTTATATTAACGTTAAGGACTTGAGAAATATACTGTTAGTTACTAATCGGTAATTGTAAGCATCTCAGTTTTGCAAGAGCTAGATTGAGATTAGCTTAGAAATGTGATAGTCTCAGGTTGAGGTTAGATAGCGTCTGTTTTACTCTATATTGCGAGTACGACTTGTCGACTGGTGACGGCCAGTATGAAACGTGGTTTCAGGGTTTCTTGCTAACTACGAGAAACCACCTAAATTGCAAATAAAAAGATTGCTTGACTTATTTTGTTGGTCCACTGTTCGAGGATTAGAAAAAATATTTAATTATTCAATTAAATTTAGAGAACATAATTGTAACTTACCGAAACTGTTGAACCGTGCTTATTTGCAAATGTGACATTAACATTCGGTAGCCAACCATTACCATGATTAGGTGATCCCATTAAATCTGCTGTGGATGGTTTACTACAATAGGAATGCTGATAACCACCACCGACCAAATTCTCAATTAATTGTCCAACTGATCGTAATGTAATTTTCTGTAAATTAAACATGATATTTCAAAAGTGTATGGTATTAATATAAATCATGTGAATTGACAAAAATAATAACGATTATTATTAAAATGTAACATGAGTATTCCTATTAGATATCTATTTACTGCGAAGTAGCAGCAGCGATAGAAATGATTCAAACATGAAGTTGATGCGCTTTTAATATTAACAAATGCGTTGTAAAAGGAAACAATATTAATGTTAAAGTCAACATTATGCAATGAGCACACTAAATTCAATTTTTTTAAGTAATCCGCACCATGAGAAGCGATAACAAAAACATAAACAACGTAAAACTGTTATACGCGACGATGACATAATGGCACTGGTAATTCAAATACATAGTTGGACAAGTCAGTAATGACTTATATGGTGTTTAAATTAGGTTTGTGAGACCCCCCCCCAGAAAAAAATATGGGTGATCATTGTGATAACTTGCGGCCAATTAAAGAACAGTGATTTATCGACAGGACCAATGACGCACTTATCGGTCCTGCTTCCCGGTAAGTTCAGAACACCAATCTCAGCCTCACCGATATGAATCATTTATTTCAAACATACTGGGTTTATATACCAAATCAGACAGACCACATCGTACCATAAAATGGAAAATAACATTTGTACAAGATTTAGCCAAATGTGGCTGTGAATATAGAAGGTAGTGATTAATAGACAGGAAATAATTCAAGAATGGAAAATCGTATAATTACAGTTCATAGGTTAAAATAAAGTTTATGATAAGAGAGAAATGTATATGAATAGCTTAGTTAATTAACAATTATACGATAAAAGTATACGCATAGTATTGGTCCACGAATGGATCCCAAAAAATTACCACTCATTATTCTTATTGGGACATAACACTCAGAAAATAAGATCCAGACAGAGAACTTATCACTGAATCATTTCTATTTAACAATGATAGATACTTTGAAATTATATTCTAAAATCTCTCTGACTATTACTTCGTTTATTTCCTTATTCAAAAACTGTAGAACTTGGCACATGTAGGACCTAGTTCAAGTAACCACCCTACAATAGAACAGCGAGATGAAATTATGAAAATAAATGCCAGTGATAAGATTCGTACTAGGATCAAAGGTAGTACAAACAATTAGGCACAGACAATATAATTAGATGAGAAAGATTTATCTCGGGTAGTGAAGTAGCAAAGAATGATCGAATTTGAGTCATTGAGATCGTGTTTGAGCAATAATACGCAACCTCTCCAGCCTTTAAGTACGATAACCGTGAGGACCATATTTAAAGAATCTACATTTACTTACTCCACTGAGTTCAAAAGTCAGTGGCTTTGTGAAATGTCACGTTTTGGCTTGTTCGCTCATAACCTTCTTACAACCTATTCCTTCCTACCCCATCAAATATTGATTGTCTATTCACATGTGGTCCAGAATACATAATACGTCTCCCAGCCACTCCAGCAGATAAAGACTGACTACCTCGTCAAACAATTGCTCATCTTTACTTAGAAATCTTTATTCAACAGCAGCTGTATCATATCCTCATATGTGATGTATTTTTACTACCATTGAAGTAACTGCTTCTATGAATTCGGTGTCCATCTTGTGCAAATGAAGTCTAGCAACTTGGATTGCTGCATATATGTGGCTGATCCTACGTTGTAGGTGATTGACTGACTTGTCTCTTATTGATTTCTACTCCGGACTCACTAAGAGTGACTACTTGTAATTGTGTTGAATAAAGTGTTGTCTAGTCTATACTCTGGTACTCTTTTCAGGGTCATAAATCCTGAATTTGATGTAACCTGATTAGTCTTATTATCATTTCAACGTATTATCGTAGTATAGTTGAAAGTGAGAAGCATATTTTAAACATCCGCTATAGCACGAAGAGAACATATATATATATATATAATTCGGTAATTCTATGTGAAGTCACACTAACTTTTATTATTGTCTGTCAGTTATAGTCTTGAAAAAAATAAGTTATTGTAGTATGCCCTCTAAATATTTTTATTTTGACCTTGTATACAAAACTGACGTACATTAATACGATGTGTAAAATATTTTTGTATTATTGACTTTGTTATGAGATAAAACTGTGTTCAACTTTAAAAAAAAATCATAACATTCAGATATCATCAATAGTTTATTATTTTTAAAGTTTTCTTATATGTTTATTTCTAGGTAACTTACAGTAGGGATTAATATAAGTTAAGGTATTGATGAAAACTAAACTATACAGCTATTTTATCGTTACATGTTAAAAAAAATCCCACCATGGATTGAGTAAGAAACCTTCATGTCTTGTGACTAACATTTAACGCTTAGAACTAATGAGTTAAAATCTAATTAACTTGCGTTTATATTTGCTTGGAGTCCTGGTAAAATTATTGTTTTCAAAGTTTCATATACACTGAATATCATATTATTCAGATAAGAAGGAAGGTAAAATTCAAGCTGACTTATATTTCATTTTTATTAATCCTGTTGGCAAATAAAACGACAAATAAAAGACGATTCGTAAATTATGTTTAATTATTTAAGACCTGAATCTTCAAAATCGAATATGTAAGGTTTCATTGGTACAGGAGAATAGTAATGAGTTACCAAGACAGTGTAAAGGCAAACTGATTAATTGACTGTGTAAAATATTCAATAAATGGAAAAAAATTAAACAAATTTTTACTTTTAAACAACAGTATAATTGTGCTTATAACATCTTAGCATGTATCATTGTTCAAAACTAGAAGGATGAAATATAACAATAGAATGTTTACAAATATAAGATTTAAAAAAAGGACAATTTATTAAAACAACATGTATTGTATTCACTTTAAAGTTACTGTTTACCTGTTTTGTTCCTAGAACTTTTGCAAATAATTTATGAAAAGATTGGTTATTCACATCAACATTATATAATTCTTCCAAACGTTCACGAGTTAAAAATCGTTGAATTCTCAATCCTTTAGTAAGTAATAACTGCACAAATTCCAACCGATCATTTAATAAAGCATCAGCCATAGCATTTTCAAGTGTCGTTTTCTGTAGTTTAGTTTTAAAAAAATAATGACACAAAAAGTCAGTTGACTATCAATTAAAAAAGATGCTACATCTTTGTTGAGAATAGGACACAGTGAAAAAGGGAGCAATTTGAACACCTGATAATCTATTTTACTGAAGATACATATTCTTTGGGGACATAACAGTATGTTCTGACTAGTATAAAACGTAGGTACAAAGGTTGTTGATCGATTAGCTCCAAGAACCGAGCAATTAAATAGTCAAGTACTATGTGAGTGTGAATGAGGCATAAAAATATTTCAGTTTTTCAAAGTACTATATACGATGATAAACTTTACCATTTTATAATCTAAATTAATCTATAACTATTTTCATTGATGAACTCTGAACAGTGAGAAATGCATAAATTATATCAAATTATGATAGTCATGGACCGTGTGAATGATATAATACGCTAGATAATGTTGTTTTTTATATTATCAAGTAAATCCTCGTTACAAATTTAAAGAGAAAATCCTTACTAGAATTTAATTAAAGTTAACCTTTTTTGAAATTCAATATTAATGAGTTGAAAGATTAATATTTAATCGAATTTTTAAGCTAATTTCATTCTTGTTTATTGAAAGTAGATACTTAATGAATCTTAGATCAATTAAAAATTTATATTGAAATGAATAAAAAACGAATTTTGTTTGAAAATGAAAAAATTTGTTAGATAATAAACGAAAACACAACTGGACGTAACTAGTATATTATTTCATGCAAAATTATAGAGTATCTTGTTAAAATATAAGAATCATAAATAAAATACTTTATTTGAAAATATTCCATCAACTGTTCTTTACATTCTGTATGATCCTTCCAATTTTTTAATATTTTCCATTCTGTTTTCATTAATTCTATCTTCTTAGCTTTCTGCTGAGATGCATTTTACTTGTGATTGATGTTATATACTACTTATGTTTGTTGACATAGCTAGCATACACCACAAGTATTTAGTAAATTACGCTATTAAAAGCGATTTGCCAATTGATCGCTAAATTATACATTGACTGACTAAATATTTTGTACCTTTTTAGCATATTCTCCCGCAACAGTTGACATACAAAGGAACTGAGTAATATTTTCAATTTTTTTCAAAATTTTACGTATAGAGTCTATATACATATTAGAGTTTAAGTGTCAATAAACCTATCAAGCAGTATTTTCGTTGTGGTTAACTGAAGTCCAGGAAAATGGATAGTAATCATCTGCTCACCAGTGACTGACTTCAAGAGATACTCCTGGAGTTCCAGTGAAAAGTCGTTACCAGTGGAGTTCAACCAGTTCTGTTGTGAGATATCAACTCACTGAAGACAATGGTGTACGGTAACGCAACTTCGTGGATTGATTGAAGTTAGACATTAACACCGTTGGATGCTGGCTCAGTGGTCTAGTTTGTTAAGCGCCTGGAGCGAGGCTGACACGTCCTGGGTTCTAATCTCGCGAGGCGGGATCGTGGATGCTCACTGCTGAGGAGTTCCATACTAGGACAAAATGGCCGTTCAGTGCTTCCAGGTTTTTTATGGTGGTCTAGCTTCAATTGATCCATGATTTCAATCAGTGAAGTAAATTATTAGTTTGAAAATTGTTAATGTTCAATGTTTTAACTGTTTGAGCAAATTAATTACAGCTACTTTAGTACATTTACCTAAGGTGAATCGTGGTAACGGTATTGTTACTTAAATTTCAAATTTGTGAAACGGAATATCCATTCGATTTCAGTATCCTTCAGTACTAACACTTAACGAAGTAAAAAGTTACGACTTTAAGTTGGGTGATATATGCACCAATTAAACATCTCTAGTATCATATTGAATAATAGCAGTGATCTATTTTTAAATAAACACCAAATAAATTCTAGAATGGATATTTAAAACTTACAGACCAATTGTTGAATTTGCAAATACTTTAGAACGTGCTATATCTGGCCTATTCCATGCCATAGTTAGTGATAATTGTTCAGCTGGTGTTAGATTTTGACCTGAAACTATAAAAAAGACAAGATATTTATAGGTGTTAAGTAAGTGAAATAACTGCGAAAGTAGGAGCCAGGATTCTCTAAAACAGTGAACAGTGTTACGAGCTTCTATTTCACTGAGAAATATATCTATGCAAAGCATGAAATAAACAGAAAAATGAAAGAGCTGAATTCATACCATAGAAGAATCCTATAGTTTTCTTTTGCATTACAAAAGATTATTTAATAAATGATTCATCTGTTTATCGGTATTCTCACAGAGGAAGGTAAAAATTTTGGCATTGCACCTGACCGATTTAGATGGTCTTAGCATGAGCCTCCTTGGAAATAAGCATCCACGATTCGACAACAGATCAAAGCCATAGCCATCAGACCTGGAGATGAGCAACTAATTATCAGATAAATGAGTTGGCATCCAGTAGTCCACATTTATAACTTCAGTTTATTAGGTAGACCTCAGCATTGATTAACATTAATGGGTTCTTCCTAAAGTTTCAGAAAGAAGCTCTGACTGGTGGAGTTCAAGTATTTAGTATGCAAGACGAATATCATCACTGGCAAAGGATAGTGGTCAAGTAACAATGTGAATTGGTTGGAGTTAGACATATAAACCACTGGATACTAACTTGGAGGTCTAAGGGGTTACAGCAAGGATGAAACAGGTGTACAGTGATTACTGTTTGTCATTTATTGTGTAGATAGAACCAGTCTGTGATGTTAACGAGCATGACACTTATTTTAATATAAGAGCCTACAGCCAAATGACCGAGAAGCTCAAATCTATTGAACGTATTGTTTTTATAACATATGATGTATCAATAAGGTTATTAAAATGCAGCCTTCACCGATTTAACAAGATTGTACAAATATTTTTGTAGATCACTGATTTTGCGTCAATCAATTAGTTTACTTGATGAAGTGATGTTCAGACATGTAAACGCAATATTAATTCAAGAAATAACTGATTGCTGAACAGAGTCGTTTGTTAGGATGTAAACATTCTGGTTTTAGTTAATACAGTGAACGCAGATATCATATAGAATGCTTCAAAATTAGTCACCGTTGTGCAGCTGGATAACTTCCATATTTTCATTCCAATCGTGAACTTGCTGTCACATTACATGACCACTTATTCCCTTTGAATAAACATATATAATTCTTGTACTAGATTATATATAATTATTTTTCGTGCTCTACTCCCCACTTGTCTATGATTCTAAAATGTAGTAACTTGACTCGATGCACATTTTTACCGAGTACTTAAATTGGTTTATTTAAGATTTGGGGATGTTTTAATGTTTACATTCAATCTAATGGATTCCGCCAAAAGAAAAACGTTATCTATCAGTTAAGGTTTATGCACTAACAAAATTATAAATTAATCTATGCCATCTTTGACTTAACTGTTTTTAATGTAATAGTACGGTGATACAAGACGTTCTAACGTGACTTTGAACATCATTAAGAAAGAAATTCAAATACTGTTATTATTAGTAAAATAACGATATATTTGTAATATTCCTGTAGGTAGAAATCTGGATTTGTGACGTTTCGTGACTTTAATCAAGGATATCACAAATATCAAGATGTGGATTTGTAGAGGTTGTAGTAACTTTAACAGTTGGATTCATGAGTCGATCTCAGCTATACCACTATTGAAAACCTAGAAGCACTGTACGATTGGTTCGTCTTAGTATGGGACTCCCCAGCAGTGCGCGTCCACGATTCCACACGTGGGACTCGAACCAAGGGCCTTCAGTATCGCACGCCAACACTTAACCTCTAAGCCGCTGAGCCGGTATCTAACGGTGTTGGTGTTCAATTTCAATCGGCCCGTGATTTTGTGCAACCCTTCATCGACTGTCTAAGGTGGGTAACTGTTTCCGCCCGACACAGATCCCATGTACAGGATGGTAGATGCTCACTGCTAAGGAGTCCCACACTAGGGTAAAGTAGCAGTCCATTGCTTTTAGGTTTTCAATAGTGATCTTGCTGAAACCGGCTCATGAATTTAACAGTTAAAATTATTCCGAATATATTAACTTTTTTATCACAAACTTCCTATCCAATGCTTAATTTATTTGAAATCATCAAGTAAAACCTCGATACGGATATCTATTGTTATTATTAATAAAAATTGGAATAAATTTACAAAATCACCGACATTCAAAAGAAAAAAAGATGAAATCATTAAACACACAGACGCTATCTTAATCGAAACTAATTAATTCATTTAATTAAATTATCAAGACATGGGAAAATTTGAATAGATTTTGAAAAGAACATACACATAAAGAACTGATAAAAAATGTAATGAATTTCAAGACAAAACAATAATGAGTTAATTGAAGCTCGAACACCATGGAAAACCTGAAAGCACTGGACGGCCGTTTCGTCCTAGTACGGGACTCTTCAGCAGCGTGCATCCACGATCCCTCCTCGCGAGATTCGAACCTATGACTTATCGGTCTCGCGCGTGGGGGTCTAACCACTAGACTACTGAGCCGGCATCTAACGGTGTTTAATGCCTAACTTCAACCAATCCATGAAATTGAGTGACACATCCACCGTTGTTATCAGTGAGTTGCTATCTTAAAACAGACCCGGTTAAAATCCGCTAGTCATGGTTTTTCACTAGAACTCCAGGAAATATCTCTTGAAGACCATCTCTAGTGAGCATATGATGATTATTATCAGAAGTGGGTTTTGTGGAGATCTTTAGAAATTTAATAATTGAATTAGTAAGGTAATTGAAGCCATACTACAATGGAAAACCTGAAAACACTGGACAACTCATGAATTCAACCATTAAATTAATATAATATGCACAAAAACCCCTTTCTGATGATAATAAACTATTTGTTTAATAATCTATCTTATACATTGACTTCTTAACAATAATCACAACAATGTAATTCATTAAGAATTAGAATAGAAATAAACTAAAGTTTTTGGTAGAGTTAGACAACAAAAGAAAACATTTCTAAATGTATATTAGTCAAGTGATATAAGAATTTTATTTTATATTTTGAGTGAGAATATCTTTTTTTTTCAAAAATAAAAACAAAATTAAGAAAATTAGATTCAATGATTTTTCTACTTGAAAGTATATTCAACAGAATTAACTTGATGAATTATTGTTGGCTTGGTTTATTGTCATTATTAACTATATTATGAAATAAACCAAACTAGTTCATACAAACTAATCTATTTAATGAGTTGTTGTATGTTATGTTATAATTAGTTAACTTATAAATTCTAAAAGACTTCATAAATCAATAAAATGTTTTGTTAATTTTTATGACAAAAAGAGATAAGATCGGTGGTTATCATGAGGTTCAGAAAATGGTTATATACACACACCAATTACTACTGGGTATTCTGAAATATTCAGTTAAATAGCTTTAGGAAAAAGTAAGAAATCATTCCAAAAGATTTTGTTACAACTTAATAACAATGGAATGCATTAATATTTTATTCTCATTAATGTTGTTGAATAAATCTGTCAGGTAGATTAGTGAACAGTTTTGCATATTTTGAAGATATGATTGCACACGAAGTAAAATCAAGGACATTCACTTTTCGTGATACACGTAATGGCTAACGAATATTCAGTTGAAATATAACGAGTTATTCCCAACTTCAGTTTATTTACAACATAACGCAATCTTCATCCAATGTAAAGAAACATTTAGTCTTTTACCTCAAAAGTGGTTAAACTTTACAGATCATAAATTCAAGTTGAAACTTAGGAAAATCCATCTGGATCGGGTAAGTTATTAAATTCTTCCTGGATTTCCATAGTTCTGTCTGTGATATTTATTTATAAAGATAAATAATTTTAAACGCATTTTTCTCACCAAACTTTATTTACAATAAACGTTTCTCACCTTGTAAAAGAGCAGTTAATATGGTTATATCAATTTCATCACTGTCTCCTTCACCCATACGAAAAACACTAATCTATTTGGGGAAATAGAAAAGTGAAAGAAGACAATTAGGATTAAACATAGGGTAGAAAATCGATGAAACCACCATATAATCAAACATAAAAACCTGGAATCATTATTCTTATTTATTATATCATTTGGCGAAGTGTTGCACAACCTGAGACTTTGTGCATGTTATGATTAATCTTTTATTTTGAGGTTCGAGTATGTTACATTTTTATATGACAGAATTTTACAGTCATCATCACATTTTATAGTTTCTAAACATAATTTACCAATTATAAAATGCGTAAACTTATTATTATTAAGAATGGCTTTATCCAATACTATATTTTCAGCACAGTCCAGAAGTCTCAGTACCTGGTATTCCAACATGTTTCTTTTACAAAAAAAAAAAAGAAAATGTGAAAGAAACTGATAACTGCATACATATATGCATAAGTTGAGTAGATAAACTACTTGGAAGTAAATGAAATGCTTTTTAAGGAGATTTGAACCTGTACAATTTTTTATTTAAAAATACTTTATGAGAACAAGCAATTGATTGGCTCAACTTTAGCAATCTGTTCGTCACAGAGTATATATGCCAGATAAAGTATTTTAGATTACTTTATACCTTTGCTTGCATGCATAGATTTTAATGTATTTACGTCTCGTTCTACCAGAAATATACAAGGAGAAAGATGAGAGCGAAGGGGATGGTTTGTATCTGATAAGATAACAACTGCCAGGAGTTCGCAAGACTATAGATGTCTATCCACAACCATATTATTAATGACCTAAAAAGATTCACCACACACACTGATAACTGCCTTCAGCACTCTCCACAATACAGCAAAGTCTTTTCTCAAAAGACCGGAAAAGAGTAATGGAGAACAGTAAAGAATAACAGATAATATGCCAGAATTGACAAATTGTAAAGGTAGGTGTCCAGTAATCTGAAAACCATGCAGCCTCCTTCTGTAGTTAGTGAGACGGAAAACGCTCTTCGATAACAGCAAAATATGAGAAAACTAAGAGGGATCAGAGGAAAAGCTAACATCAAGATAACTGACCTTCAAAACTGCGTTTACTAAAGAGACCCCAATGGCACAAACATTACGGGATCCCAACGTGGTTTTAGGTTGCTGTTCATGTCTCAGGCAAGAGTTAACAGCTTGACATTCAGATGGATTAAGTGTGAAACCATTAACAACAGACCACCATTCAATTAGAGACAAAAACGCATTCATTTCTATGGGATGTAAAGAGGTATAAATCGGCATACACACAGTGAGATGGTCCGCATATTCAACAGAGGTGTTTTTTTGTGGAAGATGGCAGATCGGGCAAAAAAACGAGGAAAGAAAAGGGGAAGAAAAGTTCTTTGTGTTACACTTTCATAAGACAATGAAGATGTCGAGCACTTTCCTCCAAACACAGTGTACTGTTCTGTTCTAGATAGGTAGAAACATAGGCACTACGTTATGAAGCTGTCAGTGTCAACACTGGTTTACTTGTCAAGCGAAAGATTTCCTTGGAATCGAGTTAAAGGCAAAAGTATAGTCCAGAAAGTGCATCGAACATACTTCTTACACTTTTCCAAGCTCAATAATATATTATGATGCAGAACAACAGCATCTGAAATGTTGTTTAGCATTTGTAAGCAAACTGATACGGATCAATGTGCTCTTTTAGTGAAGGTTGAAGTGGGAGTATCAACAATTTTTCGATTGATTTGAGGAAAGACGAAGTTATTGCTATGCGTTTGAATTTCACATTCTTATTGCCAGACTTTCTTAGGTATCGGCGTTATCTTTATCTTTCTCCACATTTTCAGTATGAGATTAGTTGAGAAGGATCTGTTAAAGATGCTTGTGAATGGCTAGCACAGAACGTCAGCATGTTTTTAAAAAAGGAGGTTTAGGATTTTATCAGGTCCTAAACATCATGATGAATTAAGTGACTGGAAGCATTTTCGAACATCAGTTTCAGTGGAAGTAGGAACACAACTATTCTTTAAACCTGTGGTTATAGGGAGCATGACATCAGATGACTGATTATAAGATATTATCTTAGTAATATGCTAGTGGTATGATAAGGTTGCATCAGAGTAGTTCTTCAAAAAAAGCACAATAGCAGTTTAGTATAAGGGTGTATTCATCAAGATTTCAAGTCAAATATTTTTTTTCTAATTTAGATGGGAAAATAAAGGATTTATTTGAATGAATGAAATGACCCAGTAAATAATTTAGTTTCTTTTGATGAGTTTCACATAAAAATTGCCCAAAGATACAAATAAACAAATTAGCGCAACCTTATCTATCCTCCTATAGACATATATTTTCCATATAACCATATATATATATACGAATATACAGCTTAAGTAAAAAGAAATTTTCTTCACTGAATTCTCTTTTTCTTGGATTATAGATATTTGTTTTTATTTATTTGTTTGTTTGTATATAGTTGAATAAATATTGTAAGATATGAAATACAAAATCGACTGACATTTATTATGAAGGATGTGGATCAGTTCGGCATTGATAAAAACTCAGGGTCAGAATTAAGTTCACTGATTAATCAGATAAAACTATTTAACATGGCAAATTGTTATGGAATTGGTTTATTTTTACCATTAAATCAGTGTGAAATATTATCTTTTGATTTAGATAATAAAGATTCACATGAGGCTTTATCTATACTAATTTATTATTATTAATAATAGTGAATAATTAGAATTAAGATTTAAAGCATTAGAAAGATGTGATAAAATCAAATTACTGTATAAGAAAATTTAGTGTTATAAAATAATTTATATTAGGCATGTGAAAAAGATCAGCGATAGAAATATACGATGATTATAAAGTATCACTAATCGACGAAAGTTAAAAATGTAACGCACTATATACAAACTTCATGAATTGTATGAGCTAAGTGCTGGCTACAAGGTCTAAACGTTCTTACTTCGATCAGTGGTGGTGGGAAGAGGATGCCCTCTACTGAGGTGTTATATAACAGGACGAAAAAATTACCGAATGCTTTCTAGTTTTCAACGGTTGTGTTGTAAAAGTCAGTCTGCGATACAAAACTACATATATATTTATAAACATTTTAAATTTTCTATTTACTATGTTGTAAATTAACTGCAGAAATTATTTGAAGCGGATAACAGAATAACAATAACCGTTTGATGTTGACGAAAAATCAAAGTGCTATGATATTATAGTCTACTAAGTTGAGATGAAAGAAATCGATTTATCTATCACACGTTTCTACCACATATGTGTCTATAAATCTCGAAGAATACTAGTCAGTGCATAGAAGAAAGCCATACGAGAAGCGAAGTAATTTCACTGTTTATTTTTCACACAATGTCGTGAGTATCACTGATCTTATCATTTACTTAAGTGACACACTTACTTCATATTAATGAGTACTTTTCTAGCTTATTTATTCAACACGTAACCCACATGTTCTTGTTATTAATTACTAGTACTATTCAAACGACTAACTGATTGAAGGGAGTGTGCAATTCAACATATTTAACTAAATCCTGTTAAATCAAATTCAACCTCACAGGTAGATATTAATGAAGCAACTGTAAAACTAAGAAACGTTAAAAGAAAAAAAGTTAGTAAGTCTTTTTGTTTTCTTTTTAAACTTAATTTTATTACTTATGTCACAACTTAACTGTAGTTAGATGAATTCTATTATTTGAAAAAAAATCTATCTGAATGTGAATTAACATTGTGAAAATGTAATTACATTTCGTTAAAATTCATGAAGATAAAAATTGTGTACGGTAAGAAAACTAAACAAATAACCAAACGAAACCATAATGATATTCGAAGTTATTCAGTCAGATCAATTTATTGATTAAAATACACTATAAAGTTAAATCAATAGGTTCATTAAAGAAAATAAAAACATATAATAGATCGATTTCATATCCGATTTTGTTATCTGTATGTGGTCAAGGTCGTTAAATTGTTCTATAATCCCTATCATGTGAATGGTAATAATTATTCTTCATGACTCTTCCGGAATGATCGGATAAACTACACTACACTTCTAGACCTATAGTTCCTCAGGACTTCAAAAAATTAGGAATAGATAAATACAGAAGATATAATGGTTTGTTTTTTAGAATATGTGATTTGGAAAAAGAAAATATCAAACAGTTGTGACAAATATTATTCGAAACAACATATCTCTTTGGTAATTAATGACAATATGTAACATTTGATTATTAATTACAAATCGTACTATATTTACTTTATATGTCTGAATATCTACTAAGTGGATAGAGTTTGATCTTTGTATGGGTGCAAAAATAGTTCAAATAGATCAGTAATTATGTTATTATTATTATAAAGAATAATAAACACTCGTTCACAGTTGTTTATTCAATTAAATACAAGCATAAACAAACAAGTAGGTGATTTTTACAGAAACAAAATACAGGGTTTGATTGTGCTGGCATCAAATACAGAAAACAATTTTTTTCTCATTTATCTTTGTAAAACATATGAATGTTTATTTGCAGTGATAATAAAATATTGTCGAAATTCGCTTATCAAGTACCTAGACCTTTTAGATAAATAACATAGGACTTGGTACAAACGTGTGTCGTTTCAACGTACTACAATTCGATATCAGTAAATCCAGAGAACATATTAAAGTAAGGCAGATTATTGTAATAATGATATAAGTAGTGAAAGACCAAACATTAAGAATTCTGTTTTAAGGAAATACATGAAATTAAGGAATGTGAAGTAGAAAATGATTCTTAAACTCAAAATTTAAAAGGAGACTAAGAATTAACGCAGATGCGTGACTGAGAATAATTGTGAATTACAACACTTATGTTTTCGATCGCAGGTTACAATTTTGTAATAAAATTCAATCTAATGATCAGTGACTTCGTAGACTGATACTATCACTTGATCTGACTAGTCCTAATCATTTTGGAACCAACTCATAAGCTGAGCACTACAACCCATTTAGCACTATTACATAGTACCCTATACT